TAAGTTTCTTTTAGACCTGGTAAACCTCTAAGAACTCTCGTGTATGTGTACATATACTTCTACATCTTCGATCTGAGAATTTCGAATGAAACGTTCGAACTAATTAGAATTCACATGTAGGTAATTTAACTGTTCTCAATTTCCAGCTGGAAGGTTTTTTCGTAAGTTTGTGACGTAGAAGGTGAAGAATATCGACGGAGAAAACCGTGGAGAGAGCGCGATGAAAATTGGACGATTTTGAGAATTTCAAATTTTCCCGCCATCTGTTTTCTTCATCTTCGAGTCACGAATTTCTAGACTCAACCCTTTAGTACTCATGCATCTCCCTGCACACAGTATTACATGTGTACATTTCTACACGGATCTGACTTATTTCAAATTTTCCCGCCAACAGTTTTCTCTAAACAAGTGCACCTCTAACCTGAAATTTTTACGTATCTGCACATTCTCGTATAAGTACTTGCACCACAAGTAATTTGCACTTCTGCAGTAACTTCGATATTTTCGGGGGAATTTCCCCCCTAATTTGAAATAGAGTTGCAAGAAAATTTCTCTTCTTGGATGGTAGAGACTCTTATTCACCAATCCTCTGTAAGGCTCTCGGCCGTCTCTCGCGGTAGATGCATGCGATAAGAACCGAAACCCAGAAATGTATGCATAGAGGAGCCAGCCGTAAGAGAAAACGGAGTCTGATCGCTCCGTTAGCGTGAACGGCGGGGCACTCGATTTTAGAACGGCTAGAGCCAACCACCGAACGGAGAAGGGTACGCGCGAGAGAAAGAAAGAAAGAGAGCGAGAGGGAGAACTGTTTTAGCGGTGGCTATGATGATTGCAACGTGGTAACACGATCATTGGTTGAACACGCAGAGAAAGAACCTGGTTTCCTGCGAATTGGCTCGCTGAACGTACGCGTGAAACGTACGACGGAAGCGTTCAGCCAGTTCCTGGGTGTGGCAACTAGCAGCGCCAGCAGCAACCACGAGAAGATACACAAGAACTGGGGATCGGCGGATAATGTGCAGGTAGAGCAGAAGATGAGAGAGAGAGAGAGTGAAAGGAGGAGAGACAGGGAGAGCAAAAGGAAGAGAGGCAGAGAGGCAGAGAGATAAGAGGAGAGGCAGAGAGAATGTGTGTGTGAGAAAAGAGGAAAGAGGGAGGCAGAGAGAGAAATAAGAATGAAGGAGAGACAAAGAGGAGGGAGGAGAGAGAGAGAATGTGTGTGCGTGTGTGTGCGAGAGAAAGGAGGAAAGGGGGAGGCAGAGAGAGAAATAAAAATGAAGGAGAGACAGAGAGAATGTGTGTGCGTGTGTGTGCGAGAGGAAGGAGGAAAGAGGGAAGCAGAGAGAGAAATAAGAATGAAGGAGAGACAAAGAGGAAGGAGGAGAGACGGAGAGAATGTGTGTGCGCATGTGTGTGTGAGAGAAAGGAGGAAAGAGGGAGGCAGAGAGAGAAATAAGAATGAAGGAGAGACAGAGAGAATGTGTGTGCGTGTGTGTGCGAGAGAAAGGAGGAAAGAGGGAAGCAGAGAGAGAAATAAGAATGAAGGAGAGACAGAGAGGAGGGAGGAGAGAGAGAGAATGTGTGTGCGTGTGTGTGTGAGAGAAAGGAGGAAAGAGGGAGGCAGAGAGAGAAATAAGAATGAAGGAGAGACAGAGAGAATGTGTGTGCGTGTGTGTGAGAGAGAAAGGATGAAAGGAGGAGGCAGAGAGAGAAATAAAAATGAAGGAGAGACAAGGAGGAGGAAGGAGAGACAGAAAGAATGTATGTGCGTGCATGTGAGAGCAAAAGGAGGAGAGGCAGAGAGATAAGAGGAGAAACAGAGAGAATGTGTGTGCTGCGAGAGAGGAAGGAGAAAAGAGGGAGAGTGCGTGTATATGAGAAAGGAGAGGAGAGAATATGTGTATATGAGAATGGAGAAGAGAAACAGAGTGTGTGTGTGTCTGTGCGAGGGGGTCTCCGCGTTCTCGAAAATTACCCGATAGCCGGGCCTCCACTCTCTCTGCTTGACCCTCTATAATTATTCAACCCCTGGACGAGCACCGACAGCACCGTATCCCCCCTCCCTTCGCCCCGGTCGGTGTGTGCACCACGAATATTATGCGACGAATCGCGAACTCGTTTAATATTAACGCTCGCACGGTTTCCGCAGGTAGAGGAGAGGAAATTACCGTGCTCGCGAGCACGAGCCTTGCTGCCTCCTCGCCGAACGAGAGGTGGAGGCTATCTCGTGTCTCGAAGTCGCGGCCACACGCTTTTAATCGAAAATCGTCCCCTTCGACTCCGTCATTACATCGCGCTTGACGAATGATAATTTTGCGCCGCGACGACCACTACAGCACCAACATTTTTCGTGACTACCTCTTTTCTCAAAAGCGCGACGAATCCCCGTCCGTTCTTCTTGCTCTTTTCGAACCACGAGAAAATACCTCGTCGAGCGGTTTTCTCCTTTTTAACATTCCTCTTTTCGAGGTTTTTAACCTCTTCAGGGACGATTTTTTCTCACCTTTTTTCTTTTTGCATACTTATGTTTTATTCAGTTTTCAAATACACGAGGAATCAAACTGGTTTTCTCGTTACGAAGTTCTGTAATTAACAGTTACTCCGTCGATAACGTTGGAATCTTAGAAATAGATAAAAATCGGACACCCGGTACGGAACAGTGTACCAGAAGAGGTTAGAATTCCTAAAAAAGATCGTCCAGAGGTTAGGTATTCCCCTCTACGACGAAATCTTATAATTCTTCTTGAATTCCCGCGAAGTTCGACCAAAAGGTGATGCCACCGCCGAAGTACGCGCCGATAAAGAAGAGGAGAAGTCGCCGGGCACAAGATTTTGGATCGTCGCGAGACCATCAGGTCGCCAGTCAGCCGAGCACGCCGCTTCCGCAAGGCAAGGTTTCACGATCGAGCCACTCGGTCCATCGTCGGCCAACTTCCACCACCGCTGTCAGCTCAGCCGTGTCCAGAACGCAGCAGAACAACGACTCCGACTCCGATACCGCGTGCGGATTCGATTCCGCGTGGAGAGGATCCGCACAGCTTTAGGGCGAATCCCTCCCACTTAGTTGCGTTTCACGTGTCGCGAATCTCTGAGGCTCCTATTGAATCACCGTGTACCTTGCCTTCTGGTCTTTTTGTAAATGATAACGTCGCAACTGTTTCCCCACCATTTACTTTTAAGTATACCGAAATTGGAACCGAAAAGACTGTTTAGACGGAACAAAAGACGTAGCAATTTTGTAGGTTATCGAACGAGCTTAGAGCGAGATTTTATATAAAATAATATTTGCGGTGGGGAGAAGTTTTCGAGAGATGTTCGAATTTGTGGTAATACGAATTTCTCGGGAGATTCGGTGGGGAGAAGTTTTCGAGAGATGTTCGAATTTGTGGTAATACGAATTTCTCGGGAGATTAAACGACTGATTGGAATAACAGGGATTTTAGAAGGAATTGATTTCTTTTCCGTGGTATTTTTCGACGTTGGTTATTCTCGTAGTTTCTGTAAGTGCCTTATTTAACAGTTGCAAGCAATGCTTTAGGTTTATTAAAATGCGTCCTTTGTACGAAGACCAAATATGTATTCTCTCGTAAGTTGTAAAGGAGATTACGAATTTTTGCTGTACAAGGTGCATTTACGCACAACTTTTTAATTGTAAGATACTGTTTCTCACTTAAGGATACGAATGAATCGATGTACCTAAGGTAGTGGAATTGATACTGCAATATTGTCTGTGTTATTTGTCATATTAACAACGGTTGTACTAATTGATCGTAGATTTTTTAAAGTGATTGTATAAATAGATATTTCGAATGGCAATAAATAATGATCAATTAACTCAATTTGTACCTGTGTAATTTTGTCTTGAAGTTGGAAACTCTTCCAAGAATTTATTATAATAAGCAATGTGCAAGCGCTATCTATTAGTATTTAGCGATACTAGTTTCCTTCGCAATTCTTAAATTTCTTCGCTAGATGTCGTGTAATAGCGTTTCCTAAAGATTGAGAACTACTTATCAGCATGTGTCTCTAGGTACTTGTTCCGAAGAAATTACCGATAGAGTTTTAAAAACGAAAAATATATAAAAAAAACCATTGATAGTTTATAAATTCTAAATAATATCCTCTAAGTTATTTCACAACCTATTTTATCTTTATTTTTAATCAATTTTCTTTTATTATTTGCAAATGCAAATTGCTGGTATTTCGTGTGTGTGAATAAAGTAGGCTTGTGAATTAACCTATCGCGTGGTACAATTACGCGTTGTATTTCGTTAAAATTAAGTAAATTCTTTGCAATTAATGTAAAACGTGATATAATTTCGTTTAATACACTTAATTAAATCTTCCCAGTATTTAACTTATTTTACTTTTTACGACGTCAACTTAATCGTACTTAACCTAACACAAAGATTTAATAATAATTTGTTTTTTTCAAAGAAAACTATTTTTTGTTAATAATGTATGACATATATTACCCCAGTGTAAGTGTAATGATGTTTAAATAATCTTAAAATATCTTAAATGAGAAAATAATGGATTTTAATGATAGTTTTACAACATTGGAAAGTTGGGCTGCTCTGATCCTGTGAAAATAAGTACCACATTTAACGTTTATATCGAATTATGCGAAGGTAATTGCGTAGCGTTATAATAACACTATTTAAAAATGTATTCTATCATGAATTTTTGTATATGATTAGCAAAGAAATATTGGGAAGTCAATTACAAATATAACGAAAGCTTAGATTTATTGTATTTGGAAGTAAAAAGAAGGAAAAGTTCTCAGCTAGAACTATTTGTACCTTGGCCGGCGTTATCTAATATTTCTCTCGATAAAATTGAAAAAATACAGGAAGCTTTAAATGTTGAAAAGTAAGATCAAAGAGTATGAAAAAGATTGTGAGACTATATTTTGTTAAATTCGTTCATTAATTTCTGTATTTTGCAACAGGGTATCATTTGTTTTTAAAGCTGAAGACAGCACAAGTATTATTTATAGAGTTAGTAAAGGTCTTGTGAAACCTATGAGTCCAAAAGCATCTAAATTGATGAAAGAGAAGGAAGATAAGAAGTTAAATTTAGAAAAAGAAATAAGGAAAAATACTTCATACTTGTATGAATTAGCAAAATCTTTAAATACAAAAGATACTGATACAGACATTGACCCTACTGCAAGTAGTAGCAGTCAAACAACAGGTAAATATAATTTATTTCACTTTTTTTTAATGTTTGTTGGATATTCGATTTTTCTAAAGGATTAGGAAAAGTAAATACAGAATCGATGTATTTGCTTTAGATATTTATTATTCAAAGTAATTATTATTTATATATTTGAAATAGTGTAAATTTTAGAAGTACTACTAAAAACTATATAACTATTTGAAGTGATATGTATTAAGCTGCCACTGCAAAAGTGAATATTAAATAAGTTATTGCTTAATGGTATTTTATAAGCATTTTCTATGTTGACACATTATCTACTACTAAGTGATTTAGTAAACATTGCAAGTATGAGGCACATGCTGTTTCATTACTGTCAGCTACAGATAAATGTAGTGAACATTCTAAACTAAGGTTAGAACTTAATATTGCTATGTTATTTCGTATGTATAAAAATAAGTAACGGAAGTATATTTTAACAAGGTTTCTAGTTTGAGTGTTGAAAATAGATCTATCTACAAAAAAATTTACGACACTTGTATTATATACACCTTTCAATTGCTATTTTTCGAACGACACTTCATTTTTAACATTGCAGTACACATAAAGAACGTCGCTCTCGTAAAAACTACTTATGTTTATCATCTTTTTTTAATCGTGTTTGTAATATATATATGTACCGTTTGTGTATACATACATCTTAATTGTTGTAGGGTACATAATTAATACATTGACAAGAAAATATTGATTAATAAAAAAATGATTCATTTTCCATAGATGTGTGTATTTTGGCAGTTTGACATGTAGGCATAATGTAATGTTCTACACATGAAATATAAAAATAAATGTTTTCGTCATTATTAACAAAATGTTATATCGTTACTTTTCTTGCAATTTCTTTAAAATTTCGTTCAAATCAAGTAATTTGTGATGTTTCACTTTTATCCAGATCGAAGCGCGTAATAGATAGCGAAGATAAACGCCTTAGTTAGATATTATCGCGACGTTCTCATATTTTCTTGTCCATTATACAATGAGAAAGTATAATATAGTTTTTAACTAAAATTACTCAACTAGATTTTAAAACCTACGTATGAGAATTGTATAAAAACAGGCACATTAGGAATAATGTGTTATATGAGCACCTCTGTATAAGTAGGTTTCCATTTTAATATACAAGGTCTCGGTATAAAATAGTTACCAAATGGTTATTAATGTATTAGTGCATTAAGGCAACTAGAATTCGAGATGTACTCGAAACTATCACAAGTGACACAATTAGTTTCCTGTTTCACAATTTTAAATACTGCTTTTGGGGAGAATGAGTAATGATCTCAAGCTTATATGACTAAATTTTCCATATAAGAAAATTTCAAATGAAACCGTTCACATTACTGTCACAGCACTTTGATTATTCAACATTACGATCGCTCACTTATTATCCTCTTTCGGACATATTTTAGACGGATATTTTTTTTACAGAAGTGTAATTTGAATATTATACAAGAGGACAGTTACATGATGCATTAGGTTTCATTTAAAAAATTCTTTTGTATAAAACTTTTATACCAACTGTTGAATAAGTGAACTTAATGAGTTGATATTATTACAAGAGAAATAATTATTATAGTTATGCATTGTAGAAGGTGTGTAGTTCTTAATATTAACTAACATATTATTATGTAGTATTATTGATACCCTCAAAAATTATTTATATGGAAGTAACGAGTTTACTTTTTTAAATAAAAGTCCTATAATATAGAAGACAAGATCCTAAAAAGGTATCAAATAATGTTAGTACAAAACTCTTTCAATAACTAAGATGTAATGTATATATTTGTGATGGTTGTACAGGATAATCATAATTGTCCACAAAACCAAAGTACAAAAAAAAAGAAATATGTGAGGAAATTCTAGAGTGATGTTTATAATTATGTATGTGGTGAATATGAGTACTAACAGTGTGTGCTACTGTGTACTTGTATTACCCTTGTGATACAATGTTGCATAATATATCAAGCTAAAGTATTGTACTTATGAATCTTATGCATTCTAACTTTTTTTAATGTTTGGTTACATATTTACAAGGTATAGTACTAGAACACTACAAGTATTCTATCACATACTAGAAACAAGAAAATATGTAACTAAATGATGCAATAAAATGGGTGAAAAGATTATAGGAATCAAACCTGTAGAAATTTGTTCATCAAAAGAGAAAGTTGATATGGTCAGATTGTCAAATGAATTGTAAATAACTGATCTTAGTTAGATTAGGTACAAGTGACTAATATAATTAAAGCGCCCAGTGTTAATAGTGATTATATTGATCAACACTGTTGTACATGGTGCCATTTCTTCATTCAATTCCCTATCACATGAGCATGAGCAAATACAACTACGTTTTGATTTATTTTCTGCACTTTATGAATTATAATATGTTTATACAGTGAATACCCTTTATGTTACAAGGATATGGTTATCGAGTAGTTGGGAAACGATCACTATATATAAGAATGAGTGTGCTAAGTGAAAGTTGTAAAATAATACTTTAAACAGATATCATTTCAAACATTTGGTCAATATTTAGAATCATGATTATGAGATCTGGTGGTAAATTTTTAATTAAATGATATAAATTTTTATAAATTTAAATTCCAAACAGCAGATTTGTATCAAAATATCAACATGTTACAAAAGTACATGTACAATTTATGTTTCTTTTCTGGTCTTTCAGTTGATTAAATCTGAATATTATATCCTGGTATTTCAAGTGACTATAATTATTAACTACATTGCATACCGGAAATAATCGTGACGAATGTAAATCTGAATATATAACTACGAGTTAAAAGTCTGACATTCATACATATTAATTAAAAACCTGAGATTCGACTGTTGAACAGAATTTTTTGTTAATTCTATATGCCTGATTATATCATGATACTAAAAATAAAACATCTGTACAATACATAACATTATGAAATGTGGAACATATTATTCTGAGAATTAAACAAATACACATATAATAATCGGTGTTATTAATTGCGATTCGATTGCCCCTAAAATGATATTTAAAAAAGTAATAGAACGCTAAACGATTTGCGTATCAAATTTAACAAAAAAGACGATTAACATTGTTATTATGGCTAGCACCAGTCAGCCATGTACGTAAAATCTTTAAATAGACTTTGTTCTAAATCACTAAGTGGTCTAGGATCTTTAGGTGGAGTTAATTGGGGTTTTTCTGATGTAAATTCTTCATCAAAATTACTGACATCTTCCACAGAATGCTGAAATATAAGTACAAATGCAGTTTATCGATAACTATTCTAATAGATGCAAAACTGAAGTACAAAAAAGCATAATACTTACAATTACTGGAACAAATGGCGGTTTTACGCGTCTTAATAGTAAATCATCCCAAGCTATTTGCCTAAAGAACGCTTGCTTTTTAACATCTTCCGCATCTCTTTCGCTACTACCCAATCTTCTATCAGGATTTTTCCTTAACAACTATAATTAAACAGAAAGAATAAAGATTATTTAAATCTTACTTATTGTGGAACCAGTAAAGAAAATTCACACAAAAAGTAATATATTCACCCTTCTCATTATTGCTATTGCTTCCAAAGAAAGAAATCGTGGATAACGAACTTCGTCGTTCACAATAGAATCGAATACTTCCTCTTCATCATCACCAGGGAATGGTGACTAAACGAACAAATGTTAATTAGTATAAAGTACTTATCGTTCGTAATCGAATGAAATTTTATAAAACTTACTTCACCAACAAGCATTTCAAATATCAGTACACCAAGACCCCACCAGTCAACGGCTCGTGTGTATGAGGTTTCAGTAAGAACCTCGGGAGCCAAGAATTCTGGTGTACCACAAAATGTTCCTGTTCTATCTCCATAGCCCATTCCCTCTTTACACAAACCGAAATCCGCAATTTTTACGTACCCTTCTGTATCCAACAGTAAATTATCTAATTTTAAATCTCTGTAAATGTAAAAACATAATTGAGAATGTATCCTTGATACAAAAAAAATTACACATACTTTTTTTTTCAATATCTACCTGTAAATTATTCGACTTTCGTGCAAATATTGCAATCCTAACACGACACACGCTGAATAAAATACAGCTCGTGGCTCTCCAAACACATCTGCGTGTATATGCATCATAAGATCTCCTCCAGCTGCATATTCCATTACAAAACACACATGTGCCTATGAGGAATGAAATCATAATTTTCGATGTTCTACTTAAACGTTACACTTACTGCAAATATAATTGAAATAACATATACCTCAGTTTGAAAGCAGGCAAATAGATTTACAAGGAAAGGATGACGTGTAGCATTAGCCACTTCGAATATTCTCTTTTCTGAAAGTAATGACTCCACTTCATCCCTCGCTATTATATCTCCTTTTTTCAATGCTTTAATCGCAAAGTATTCTCCTGTATTTCTATACTGCGATAGGATTACTTTTCCGAAATGACCACGGCCAAGAACAGAAAGTAGCCTAAAGTTATCTATGGTCATTCCAGTAAGTTGCGAATGTCTTCTAGATTCGTAGGCGCTGTCTCTGTATTGAGCAGGCTTATTCGGCATTTCATATACAACCTATAATTTGTAAAATATTTATTTTAAAATAACATGTTGATCGCAAGATAATGATTACATTAATATTAATTATTTTGATATTAATTGACAGTATGAAATTTTGTTATTCAGTTTATCCTTATGTGTCTGTTAATAATGTTTCAATGATTATAAAATACTGAAAGTTTAATTATAATAAAATTCATACATTATTATTAGTGTACTAAATAAAGAAGATTGATTTATTAAGTTTCAAATACTTAGCGGTATTTTTTTTCTTTTTGCTAAATGTTAAAGATATTAGAAGCAAGATAAATATAAGATTACATAAAACATTTACAAGCCTTCATATACACACACATATATACATGCAAAAATTTAGCTACATGCTATTTGTGAAAAAAACCTATAAAAATAACAAAGAATGAGTAATGTTTTGTTATTACGATAAAATAAATTACGATAAACATAAAAAGAGCGATATTATACTTAACGTGTTAGTAGTAGAGGAATATCAAAATAAAAAATAAAGCTGCGTGTATTAGAGGTATGTACCTCATCTTCAGGAAACTCGACGACAGGTTGGGGCGAGGGTGTGCGTGGAGAGGGTGGTGCAATCAGCACAGGACGAGGCTCTGTTACGAGAGGCCTCAAATTTGCCCCCTGAGGACCCCCCTTTTCCTCGTTGTGCAGGAAATCAAACTCCCTTAATGCACTCTGTAACTACATTACTATCTGCTTAGCTCTAAAAGCTACTTTATATTGCGATATACTTTAAACTGTAGCAGATATTACGAATAGAGTAATTTATGTTCTGATAAAATTAATCAATTGACCCAAGTATCAAAGGGAGTTTGTTGCAACTTTGCTAAAGGAATACTGCACATTGTACAATGCACATTGCACATTACAGTGTACCTTTTCTATGTTGGTGCTGAACATTATAAAAATGGCTATGCGTAAAAGAAGCTAAGAATTAAAAATAATATATAAATCAAACGTAAAAAACGAAAAGAAAAGTTTGTACACTTTAAGCATTTAACAAATTGCTGTTGCCCGTTATATAAACCGCGTTTGTAAAGTTTTCAAGGTACCTACAGAAATGATGTATTTCTGGTATCCTCAAAAGCAGTATCTTGCGCAGTTGAAAGTATATAATACATATGTGCTAACATGCCTTGACAAAATATATAATACTATATACAAACATTAGCAAGTATATCGATTCAACTGGATATAAATATATTGTATGCATGTGTTCTACATGGTTTTTACCCATAACCAGTGTACCAAACCCCTGAACCTTTCAAGTAAAAGAACATACTAAGGAAACTTCGAAATACTTTGTAACAAGATGGACAATTTACAATATCGCTAAAAGGGTACAAAATAATCACGGTTTATCTTCTTTTCTATGTAACACTGGGAAGTCTAACTTTGTTGCAAATAAAAAGTACAGTGAGGAATAATACAAATGTCTCGTGACTTACCTCTTGGTCTAATTTTGGTGGTGGTGGAGGTGCAGGCAACGAGGGTTTCTTTGTAATCGTGGGTGGTGGAGGTGGAGGATGTTCTGGAGGACGAGGCAGTGTAGGGCTACTACTTGAAGTTAACAATCCTAAGGGTCTAGCTCCACCTAATCCTCCCTTTTCAGGGTCAGGCAGTTCTCCAGGCGTTTCTGGTTTATCTTCCAGTGAAGTATCAAAAGCAAGTTGCAAAGGTTGAGGTCCTAAAAAAAATCAAATTTATGTCAGAATCTTCTAAGAATTCAACACGAATACAATGTAAAATATCTAGCTACCTGACGGCGGACTTTCAGAGTTTCTTGGACTGTGCAATGAAGGAGCAGCAGATCGTTTCAAGAGTCTACCCCAAGTTGCAACGTTAATGTTCATCTGATTAGCTCTTGGGAAGTTTTTCACTTGTTGCTTAAAGATTTTTCGTTGACGTTGCAGTTTAGGTTTCCTCGAAATCATAGGGTTCAAGAACTTAATTTCAGCGAAAAGAAGACCTTGCGGCTCCAATTGCAGAGCCATTCCGTGTCTCACATCATCGATGAACTCTTCTAAACGTAAAAACTTTATAGCACAAAGAGATCTCCAATCTTTCCAATAAATGCCTATTTCGAGTTCTCTCGACTTATCTAGTTCGATGGAAAACCTATGAAAATAATATCATACGTCTACATATCGATACAGTCGTAGTTTTTGTATCGTAAAATGAAGTATAGGCATGTACCTCTCGCAAAACTATCTATGTAATAAAAATGTACCTTTGATCCCAAGCCTGCTGGGAACATGGTCGCCAACTAGTTTGTGCTACTGTTTGGTTATCCAGTTTAATAACTGCCATAATATCATCTACGGTAAACATACAAAAAATTTAACACGTTGTTCACACGTTTATAGGAAAAAAGCTAATAATAGTTGTAATAAAAACGCTTACTACTGGTTTCATCCTTAACGCTGTACGATTTGCTCGAACTACGTCCTGTAACTCCTTTAACAAAACTACGTAAATCCGGACTTGCTGGATGCTCTCTTCTCGTGCGCCCAGGCACTTCTTCTGCCAAGTCTTGACATCCCATTAACCTTACCTACAATTACAATTACACGCAATGATCTTTGATAATCATTAGGGAAATTTATGCCAGAGATGATTTCTATGCAAATTTCTTTTACCTCTAACTGTCCAGTAACAGCGGCGCATCTTGAAACCGAAGCAGGCACCGTAGCTTTACCCTCTAATGGACCACGAAACGGTTGCAATGATGTGTAAGTTACGGGGACCGGGCTAGCTGATTGCACACTTTCTAATTCTCTCTTCAATTGAGCAGCAGTACCACTGTCAGGTGGTAATTCTTGTCTTCTAAGTTCGAGGGATAATCTCAGCAGATCCAACTTTCTACTTGATTCTGCAAGACTTGCTTGAGCCTAGAGAGTGATTCAAGAGATAAATGTAAAAACATGTTTGACCTTGGAGGAAACATCAATCGGAGATGGGAATTAGTGACTCATGTAACGAACCAGCATTACTAATATAATCAATGTTTATTAACAGCATAAGTAATTGTATGTATCTGTTAGCTTACATAAATGCTCGATATCCAGCAGAATGTTTTAGCAGATCATGACAATTATAAATAAAAAAAAGAATCACCAGTATGGAATACGGATACTTTTACTCAATAAATAGAACTTAAACACACGCGTTATATATTACAAAACACAACCTTATAATATGTTCAAATATAGCTTCGTCACGAAACCGAGAATACTATGATATAGTTAAAAAAAAAAGCTTTAAGAACGTATTAATATATCAAGTCTCAAGAATTGTTAGTTCTAGGGATTGGTCGAGCTATCCTCGTTTCCTTCTTCAAACGAAACCCCGTTTGTCGTTCGAATTCGCTTATAGAACACGAACGATCCCGCGAGTTCAATTCTTCGAAGTATCTTCGACAATGCTCGCAAGAACACGAGGGATTCTTCGATGGTCCTATGTGATGACCTGGTTTGCGAAAAGCGTTCACCACCGAGCCAAATATCGACGCCTTCAATATGTGATCGGTTCTCTCGCCCTGAGGCGTCATAAAGGGAGAGGTAACTCGAGAAGGTACTTTCGACGGAAGTGGAGATGGGCTGTTAGAAACGAAAGGACCTATTTGATCGCGCAAAGCGTACGGATGAGGAATACTATCGCTACGCGTGGAATCGGAGTACTCTTGCTGAGAATTCTTCTGCTTCACAGGCTGCTCTCGCTCTGGTATACTCGTAGTGTTTTTCTCTGTACGCTCAGTAGAAGTTTTACTCGTTCGTCGAACAGTCGAGGCTTTCTTCAACATTCGTTGACTCTCTTCGCTGGACACGAAGCTCCAGCCAACAGTACCGCTCTCGTCTGTATCTTCCCCGCTATCAGCAGACGACCATCCAATCTCGTGCTTTTCTAAATACTCCTTCATCTTCCTATTCTGCAATAAATATTTACGCTCGATTTCCGGCGAGCGCCACTGTTTATCCTCTCCCTCGGACTTGGCCCATATCTCCTCCATTCTCCGTATCCTCTCTCTATCGGAGGAACTCGCGTACTCGAAACTGTCGCAAGGAGTTAGCCCTACTTTGCTATTTATCAACGAGTCTATGTCGGACAGAGTATCCTTAGGCGATGTGGCGATAGTAGAATCGTAGTCGAACGGAATGCCAGCGTTGGAAGAAGCCGCTGACCATGGTGCGGAATCTACATCCCGAAGAGCGCTGTAAGAGCTGAATTGCGAAGGATAAAGCGAGCTGAGCACGTCGTCGCTGTCGTAGCCCTTTGAACTAGCTATAGAAGGCATTCTCATGGGTGCATGCTTGAAGCTATCGCATCGTCGTTCCGTAGCACGTTTCAGAAAAGCTTTGTCATCCTGGAATCCCCTGGGTAGAATATCGCTTGGTACTTGAGTATGCGTGACTAACACGTCAGGATTCTCGAATACGGTCATAGGGGTGTCACGTTCGTTCTCGGTAGACGATTCAGTGTTCTCATCGTCGTCGGAACCGGTGCAGTACACGTCTATGTGCACAGTTCGCGATTTACGCTTCGAGCTGTCGTCTTTCGCTGAGGAATCAGACTTCTCCGAGTCCGCTGATGGACCGATGCTCGTGGTCTCTGAAGCTGTTGTTGGCGATCGACTCTCTTGCTAAAATCAGACACATATGTGATACAAAATCGTTCGATATTCACATCGAAAGAAGAAACAACTCACCTTCTTCTTCTTCTGCTCGTCCGAAATATGGAGACCAGTAGCTTTCCTCCTCACTTTACTCTTGCTCATAGTCGTCGAAGTGGATTCCTTGGACTCTATGTCTGTAGTCTGCGAAGACGCGTCTTTGCTGATGGTAGTCGACTTACTCGTAACTTTATCCTGCGTACGACTGCAGAAATGCGTACTATAGGCGCCAGGTAGACTTCCACCTTCCGGACAATCTTCGCAGACTTCCGGAACCGTGCTGAACTGATGATGCCGCGAAAAAATATGCTGATGGGACGAATGATGCCTCCAGGAATTGTCGTACAAATGCTTCGTCGACTCGCTGCCCGCTGTTTTACTGGAAGTCTCTCTTTTCGTACCATCTCCGCTGTCCACAGCTGACAGAACGATGCTACACGTGCTCTTGCATCGACGATTGTACTGTTGAGACGGTCGACGAGAAGGCAAGCTCGAGTAGGACTGCGGTGAGAATTGTTCGCTGTTGTATCCCGAATCAACGTTCAATCTTCCTCTGGACGACATGGACTCGTCGTTCCCGGACGATCCTGACCTTGGAATCGTGTAGAAGCCTGGCGAAGGCCTCGGAGGTGGAGTCGAAGTGAAGAGTATGTTGCCTCGTTGAAAACCGAAGGAACCAGGGGACGAAGATAGATTAGAAGTGGTGACGACTGGAGTCGTCGTTGACGGTGATGACTCGCTGGTGTTCCATCGGTATATCATACGAACGCCACCTGAATCTGTGACAGTGGAGGACACACTTACCGGCGCCTGAGCGGATTCCGAGGTGACCGGTGTTCCATGTCGAATCGTGACTTCTGCACGCACCAACCACGGAGGTGGTTGCGCGTTGTTCGAGTTCCCTTGACGACCGTACATGATGTCCAAGCCTTTTTCTTCAGCCTTCTCCACGCCGTTATCCACCGCAGAACACCATCGCCGCTCCGAGCGTTCAATCGGTTTCGCTGTAGAAACGCATTCGCCCGTGGACCGTTTCTCTCCTCCGTTACGAAGAGGATCCGTCGACGTTCTCTCGATAGTATCGTCGTTCCGTTGCACATCGATGAGAACACTACTGTCGATCGGTGTGGTATTTCGCGAAAGATGGTAGCACCGCGCTCCGCGGCCGCGGGGCTATTTGTTTCCTTTGTTCGGTGTCGTTTATTTTTTCGGTTCGAAGGTGGTTTCAACGAAGATACGTCTCGCGAGGGACTTCCCCTCGTTGCGCAATTGTCGTAAAAATTGATTGAACGACTTCGAACCGACCGATGTATTTTCAGAGGGTATTTCACAAATCCGTGGATATATTACATTAGTTCTTGTTCGCGGAAACACACCGCAATTCAGCGATACTGCGTCTCCCTGGTCTATTTTCAGACACCCAGTGTTGTACTGTATTCACACGATTTCGGAATCTCTTGTATCGTTTCGATATTACGTATCGAATATTTGTAAAATAGTCTGTGTCTCTTCGCGGAGAGCATATGTTACTACATCGTTTCGTAGTTTTTCCACTCTTCGCCAAACTCGAGTATTTCCTCGAGTACTACGAAAAAGGAGATCGATGCAGAAAGTGTAGCATCGTTGTATCGACAATTGTTCATATCTGCGTTTATTACAAAGCACGAAATGAATCTCGACAAATATCCAGTCTCGTTAACACAGCTCGCTCGTTTCTCGTAAGGTGACAAACCATACGTTTAGAGCAGCGTCCCAAGGTATAATTAGCACAATATAAATTTGGAGCAACGTACAGTCGGACCAAATATACCTGGAACCAGATGATACTTTTAATACGGCACAGTTCACCGTGCACGATCGGTCGCTTCTACCCGACAGGATACAATCTTCACCCACACGAAATCTCGATCACCTTCGATCTTTTCCAATGAAAAAGAAAGAGAAGAAAAAAGGAACTTAATAATACTATCCCAATTCTATCCAGTCTAAATAAATGCACGTTTCTCTCTCTGTCTTAATCTTCGCTCGACTCTCCGAACGGCGAAAGTTAAACTCGATCGGGGATCTCTACAAATATTCTGCCCTCCACGGACGTCTAATTATTCAACGTGCAATATCCTCTCTATTTCTGTCAGTCTGCTTCCGTCTCGGAATCCAATATGCTTCTTCAAGAAAATCTCTGCGCTCTAAAAACCCAGGTTCTCAGCCTCTCTCATGCATCCACAGGTGTATCTCTCTTTCTCTCTCTCTCTCGATAAAGAACAGACGTCAGTTTTCTCAAATCGTGTGTGCGTGTGTATAAGTGCGTGTAGAGATGACGAAGAAACGAAAGAAAGTGTTTCTCGTACGTAAGCAAGTAACTCTGGGACGGCTTCGAGAGTTCAGTCTTCAGATTCAGGTCATAGTTCCAAGTGTCGTCGATTTATCCACGAATACGAACAACCACGATATCTCCGCGAATGTCCGTGTAGATGACACAGGCATTTCTCGAGCGGTCGAGTCGCGGTTGATTGGCGCACATGTCGCTGGTTTATCGCGTTGCTTACGACTGGGTTATGCCAGTTCTCTCTCCCCCTCGAAGAGGTGGTAACTAAGCGCGACCCGAAAAGGCGTCATAGAAGACGACGGGGAAGCGGGGATTAGGCAGTGGCTATTTCGAGAACGGTGCGTATACGCCACCGCTGTTCGAACACGACGTAGTCGTCTACGTCGAACGCGCGTTCGAGCGACTTGGATACACGGAAAATCGTTAATCCCGACCGACCAAACGAATTCTCGGGTCTCTCGTTTCGATTTACGTCGTCAACGACGCACGATACCACCGTCTCTGCTTACGTCACAACCAGAAAGGTACATATACACGTGTATGATGTAGTACATAGAAGACGAGAGACTAAAGAAGAGTATCGTCTCGTCCCTATGATACTCTGACTTTTTCGCAGCGAGATTTTATAGATAGGAAAAGGAACGACGTTAATGGATTTTGTTCGTTGTGAAAGACACGTTCGAATGTCGCGGACAATGTGACGCACAGTGCTTTTCAAAGGACATCATGTCCGTTCCAAGAAGAAGAGTATACACCACGTCAATGGATGTCTCTTTCGACGATGTATCTCTGCTAGTGTAGCAGCGTACACAAAAGCTTTTCATTATCGAAACGTCACAGACTCGTTGGTTGTCACGTCGTATTAACGGGTATATTGAAGAGGAAATGATACGTACCTCCGTTAGAGCCTTCTTATCAGCAACTTTGGCCCTTTGTAGAAGACGTATCACGTTCTTAGCTCCCTCCACCACTGCAGCTTCGATTCGCAAACGATGTCGCAGCTCCTCCACCCTCTCTTCCAACGCCAGCTCCAAGCTTGGCTCGTACCTATCTGTAATTATAATTAGCCGACGTTGTTGAACATGTTCTAGTTGAATATCGATGATTATGATTCTAACACGAATCGAACGAAGTTTCATGCTTCCTCGAACACGCTCTCCTCGCGGAAAAAAGACGTCGAAAACACATGGACGTATGAGTGGGTGACTTACTAAAATACGACTGTTGATCGTTCGATGTCTACAACGAAGGCGAGATTGTTTTTGCGTCACGCGACACTGCTCGATGTCCTCCTAGCTACATCGATATACATTCTCCCCTTTTCAACGTCGTGTGAATCGAACGAAGCGACGATAACAGTGGATTTTTCTTTTTACAATCGACAAAGGTTGTGTAGTTGAATAGTATACGCGTTTTTCGTACAATCAGAATAACACATATGTAGGTACGTACGTACATTTATAACCGAGTGAAATGTTAAATACAAAAGTCACGAAGCCTTTATATTTACGATACTTGTGATAACAACGGTACGACTATGGTCAGACAATTTTCCAAGAAGTACCGAATCGCAACATAATCGCTTTTCGTACCCCGAGAACATCATTATCACGCAAGTAACGTTGAAGTAAGGAGCATTAGGTTAAAATTATTAACGCATAAAGTTCGCCAAGATCCACGCGTTGGCCGACGAAAATTCTGCCTGCATCTTCCATGGTACACGTCTTCTCTCGTTACTTCCACCAAATTACTATCGTATTTCATGGACGGGCTGTGCCCTATATTTCAGCGTTACCATTATCCAACCGCGTAACGCGCGGAAGTGTGTGCAGAGCATGAGTCACACCAGCAACCGACGTATCTCGAATAAATACGCGATACGATGAAAGTTAATTGCCAATAATTACGTCCTTGAGGTGACTAATTTCTCGTCTGTCCTCCTTAAGATCCATCTAACAGGCAGGAAGCGACGCTGCGCTCGATTCTCTGTACCTTTATTGCTAGCCGTCTCGCCGTTTGGCGGTGGTGCATCGCCGCGCGCGTGTTGCTGCTGACGAGCCTGTTTCACCTTCATTATTCGCATGCGTAGGAACTCGATTTTGGCGCGAGAATCGTCTAACATCTGCTGAGCCTCCTGCAGTAACTTTTTATCCCGGCCACTGGTCAAACTTTGTATCATATTCTCCGCCCCCTGCTTCACCTGAAATGTCAACGGATAAACTGGTTAATCGATGCAGTCACAAGAATATTTTTTTTAATATAATTCACAGGTACTACGATCAGATACGAAATTAGCAACACAGAGGTCACACAGTTCACCTTTTTGAAAAATAATTTCGGCATTTTCTATTCACCAGCAGCTCAACGGCTAACCCTATTATACTCTGAAACGGATCGCGTAATATGACGTAGAGACACGATTTTGCTTCTACATATATGACGGTAGGCATTGAAAATTCGTTGACATTCATAGGCTGGCGAGCAGCCAGAATTCAATGACGCAAATTTTTTTTTCATTTTTCTGTCAAATCTTATCTTACATGCTTTTCGTTATTTCGCTCTTTTTCTCTCAATTCGTTGACATGACAGATGTATCGAAGAGAGAAATATTACGACTGTCGAGAGTTACATTCGATTTTTCAATCAGATTGATATTGCGAATAGAAAGGAACTTGCAAAGACGGGTTCGAAATTTGCTACTATGTGTGCTTTGATTAGTGTAAATTACCGTATGACGAAATGGGAAGCTATCTTTAGTGAAGAAAAAAATGCCGACGATTCACTGTTGACTCACACAATAAGAACGGGCTAGAGTTGCCGCTGTCTCTCCCGCAATCACTCGCGAATTGCACACTGATTACGGCGCTGTATTAGTGTGCGATCGTGGCTACACAGTGATACACTCACACTGCTGCGTAACGCAGAGAAGTAACAATTAATCATACGATTTTTAATAAACATCTTTATCGTATTACAATTAAATTAATTATATTTTTTGGAGTAATCTAATCTCGGTGTTGCTACCTAAAGAAAACTACCGAGAGTTCGAAACTCGCGCTCCCATACGCTGATATACAATTCCAATTATAGAAACGAAGAAGATCGCTATCCCTCTCTCGTTAAGAGTGGATTATTCGAATAAATTTTCGCGACATTTTTTAGCGCTTTTTTATTTCCCTTTTTTCTTCGTCCTTTTCTTTTTCTTTAACAAACGGCGTCTACCTTGAGTTCGATATTGAGCTGCTTCTCCAAGGACAAAAGACGAAGATCCGTGAATAGACCCTCCTGACTCGGCGACGACGGCCCCATTGGTGACAGAGGCGTGTCTGAAACGAAAATAGGCGTTGAAAATAAAAAGTCGTTTCTCGATCCGGTCGGAGATTGTTCGATTATCGAAAAAGTACGGATGTAATTAAAAAAAAAAAAAAACAACCGGAGAATCCTTGAGCTTACGAAATTACGATAAATCATTAAGAACGACAAAAAAATATATCTCTTCACGTGTAGGTGTTGATACGTATAACGCGTTACTGCATCTCGCGACAAGAGAACTCTGTCCAATATAGTGAAATCGCAAGGTACTCTAATCCCACTTCCTGTAACCCACTGGAGATATCTCCGAGGCAGGCTAAGGACTCCCACGTATTTAATGTACTCCCAAGCACAATGCGAGCGTAGAAAAAGTGGCTGCTCTTCTTTGTTTCCACGTATACACACGAGCACATCTTTGCACGCCAATTTCCCATCGTACCCAAGTTTTCACTGCGAGTTGCTGCTGCTCCGCGACGCGAGCAAGCCAAACGTCCCTCGACCATAAAATGAAAGAAGAAGAAGAGAAAAAGAAGAACCTTTACGGCACGGTAATCACGTCGCTTCTCAATGAGATCGCGAAATTAATCGTTAACCGCGCTATCTTCCCGGCTCGATCTTAACGCCCGTTTAAAACGGGCCGAAAGGAGAATGAAAAATAGAAGCGCAAATAGGGTGATTTAGGAAACTGGTAGCGCGCGTGGTTCGGTGAAATTAGCATGAAAATTTCCTTTGAAAATGATCCTTCCTTTTATAAGCCGTTGCTCGAGAGATTTAACGTTCATCCTTAACGGCGCAATTAAACAGGTGTGGATTAAGGTCATGCGCCATAAAGTCACATTTGCTTTGCATAAAGAGCAATTGCCACTGTTGTTAAGTGTGTACATGAATATATGTATATATACAAGGTCTACATAAAATTTGTAATCGATATTATTGACACGAATTTCCGTCGGTGTATCGAGAGAGAGAGAGAGAGAAAGAAAAAAGAATTGTTCGATACACTTAACCTGGAGTAGAAATATAAATTTGCTACGAAACAACGTATTGCACAAGAAACGATCGTAAAAGTAGATCAACGTTTAGGTGAGCGCGGAAACGTTTCTGAAAAATGGGTGTCAGAATTTATAAGCGGCGTTTCCGGGCGGGCCGGAACACCGAACAATTACTGTAATCAATTCCACTTACGTAATTATATCGACGTCGTTTGCGAAACGTACGCGCGACTCCCATTTTAATACGCCAGGCACGCCCTGCGACCTTTTTTTTTTTTATTTATTCTCGAATCGCGGACGTGCACACAAGCGGTACACACGCGTGAACAGATTCGTTCGTGTACGTGTGTGTGTGTGTGTGTGTGTGGAAAACACGTATTTCCCGTCTAGCTAGCCGTACTCAACGAACAACCGGACGATTCCTGGTTTTACCACGTTCGTCGAATTCGTGCGTTCAAACACCTAGCCAACCAGAGCTCTTTGTGAAGAACCAACGGTCGGTCGAAAGGATTAAGCCGTGAAACAACGCGAATTCCGTGCTCGTTCCAAGGCAAACGAAATTTCTTTTGGAGCTCGTCGAAGCGTGAAGGCCCCCGCTAGAGAGGATTTTTGCCATAGATATTATAAAAAAAGAACGGCGGTGGTGGTGGGTGAGAGGGATTTAGCGAACCGTGCGGAAAAAGAACGGTAACGACGAGCATCGCCGACAAAGAAACACGTGAAACGCGCGCACACGACGCCTATGCAGCACCGCGGGATAAGCGCACTTGCACCGTCGGTGCACGCACTGCGCGTTAGCCTGACATGTCCGAATAAGGCGAGCCACGAAGCGAGACAGAGAGAAAGAGAGGAAAATAAGGAGGATATTGGCCATGTGAATGCATACGGGAGTAGCGTCGTTGGAATCGGTTCGGCTCCACCGATTCTCCACTGTGCGCCTCCTCGTTCTCCGGGAAACGAGGAACAGGGGACAACGGAAGGAAGAGATGTTCTCCAAAGGGGATGTCCGTAGGAGGAATATGTATGAGGGTATTGTCGTCGTAATCGGTTCGACTTTTGAGGGCTTCTGATTCTTGAAACGATAGGAAGATTGTGCAAAGGAAATTCGTGATTTAACCCCTTCACGTATCATCTTTTGTTGTTTTTTTTTTTTTTTGATTATTCTTTGAAACTTGCTTAGATGATGATAGATGTGATCAATTTGGTTTCGATTCGATTCAAGGTGTTCTATATTCTTGGAGCGACAGAAAATTCGATATACGATTTTCTTTTTGACGGTCAAGTTATAATTATCCTTTCCTGCGTTTAATAGAGAATTACTCGCGTGGTAGACGATGAAAGATTATATTCGTTTCACTAAATTAAAATGGAAGTGCGCAAAGGATGAGAGATTAAGATGAAAGTACGGCAACAGCACGGTAGAAAATTTTGAAAGCGCCTCTAGGCGCCGACAGCAACGAAAATGTTAAGACAATGGGCAATACATAAAGTGACGGAAAAAAACGTCGCGAGGAAAAAGTGAATCGATATTACAAAACACGAGGTTAAATACGACTACACACACAATACACCGTGCATCGTTAAAATGCGCACAGTTGGTTCTCGACGAAACGATACAGGAAAAAGGGAGCAACCGAGGGGAAGAGCCGGTTACCCAGGAGGAAAAAAGGGGAATGACACGTACACAGGAGTGTGTCAAAAACGTGGAAAGAAGGAGAATAATTCGTAATAGGTTGGCGAAACAGTGGAAGAGAGGTCTCGGGACAATACGGTATATATCGAGGAGTACGCGAAACCATGTCATTAGCGCAGTACCAGAACACGTGCCCCATTATACTCCGGTTTCTACGAGCGTGGGGCGACACGACAAAGACTTTCCTTGTTTCCAGACTACAAAACTCCGTGCACACGCTCTGTCGCGCTGTTTCTTCCTCTTCTATCTCTCCCCCCGTGCGCGAAACAATGAATGGAATTATTGACGCATTCGGCACTTCTCTACGTAACGTGGTGCACTTTTGGTAAAGGAAACTGCACACGCTAGATAACGATCTCCTTTTTTTCCCCCCTCTTCTGCTTGTTTCACTATTATCGAACAAGAGAGAAAGAGAGAGAGAGAGAGAGAGAGAGAGCGGTAGGAGAAGCTGTAGAGCTATCTTTTTCACTGGTTTGACGACCTCAGGGTGCAACGCACGCAACAACCCCTCGGCAACACTGAAAGACGCGTCCGTTCGTGTGTGCATAATTTTACCAGCACGCATCATCTCGTCTCCCGTACTACCAAGAGAGAGAGAGAGAGAGAGAGATCGAATGAAACTTGCTACTCTACATCGAGAAAATGATGTTCTTCTCTCTGGTCTCCGTCGTATACAGAAACAAGTATTCATACGTGGAACACTGGTTACGCAAGAAAACTCTTTGTTTTCCATCCGGCCTGTGGTATCGTTTAAAGGTGCATTGAAAAGGGGAAAGAAAAAGAACATAACGAGCAAAAATACACAGTTAATTAGAGAGAGCATAGGATGCAGCGAGGAGAGAAAAAAAAGGTCTGTATGGTGAAAAATTAAAAATTTTAATCCCTCGACAAGCTGCATAAGCTGTAACACGATTTCCTCTCTCCTTTCGAGCGCACTCGCGCACTCGAGTGACTCTCTGGCCGCGAGTCGCCCATTCATGATTTCGCCTGCACCGTGCGCCACAGGCTCTCTTTTCCACATATTCCACGCGATTCACGCAGACGCGCGATCACGAACCGTAACCCCGTGGGCCAGACTTCCTACGGCATAACATTAATATATATATATATATATATTACGTAAGGAATAATTGTGTTCCGCTGCATCGTAAAAGGGGATGGAGTATGGTCTGGCAACATCCTTATTACAGGACTGATTAAAATAATTAACGTCGGCTAGAAACTGAGCGTGAACCGTACCGTTCTCGAGCGTAAACTGCCTCGAATCGACAAAGACGTGCGCGCTGGTATCCTGTCGCGTAACACAATCACTTACGTCAATAGAGACTTGCGAAATAGAATATGTTATTAATTAGCCTAAACGTTACTCAACCATTGTGTTACAGTCGACGACCATGGTCGACGGAAAAGAATGCTCGGTTCTGGGAACGCACAGGCGGTATCCAGGCGTCTTACTTGATAATGAAAATCAGATAGAGAAACTATGTGCGTTTCGCTTGTAACTATCGCACCGGTGATTGAAAAGTCGTATTTTTCCCTAAAGACGTTTCGATCGTGACGAGAAAATAGCGGTACGAAAGAGAGACCTTAGGTGAACCTGGCTTGTAAAGTAACCGTAACCGTGTCTAATCGTATATCGTGACGTTTAAATTATTAGCATAAGAGCTACCGTTCGCGTCGATCGAGCGAAATTATGCGACCGGTTTTCAGAAAAATGTCCACCGTTTAAAAAGAGCCACCGGTGTAACCTACTAAAAACCTATACAAGCCGTCAATTAACCGATATAAATCGTCACGCTTATTTGCGAGCGCGAGTGATTTCCTCGGCGAAGTTTTACGATCGGCAGGAAAGGAGCCGTAGTGTGTCCCGGTATATCTGTTTCGCCTCGCTCTTATAAATTACTACGTGCGTGGCGTACACACGCGTGTGTGTGAGAGAGAGAACCGTGGAAAGCGTCGTAAAACAGTTTCACCGAAGGTTTCTGATAAGCTTGAGGCGGTATCGGACGAATCTACCGGGTTCAATTTTCTCTCATTCACCAAACGTGGGCGTCACACACGCCGGCCTAGACAAAAGCGATTTCGTTCTCTCTTTCGCGTGTATTATAACATTCCCCTCTCTCTACAGATATACACACCGGTCAATACACGTCAACGCGTTACGAGACTTCTGTAATTCGTGACTCATAATCTCTTATCGATCTTTGATCTTTTTTCACCGTATCACGCAATGACGACACGAGCATACCGGGAATTCGTGAACCTTTAAATCACTCGCGCCGGTAAGTGGATAGTTATGCCGTTTCTTTCGCGTGTATTAGCCCCTAATCATGCGATATTATCTTTAGCGGGCTCGTCTCGTGCAAGTGTCTCTTTATGCCGAAAAAAAAATTGCGTAACTTCGAGCGTGTACACGAGAAGGAAGAGTTGAAACGCGGGACAAAAATAGGACGATGTTACGTTTGTAAACGCGAACACGTTGAGGCTCGAACGCGCATAAAACCGACTCTGTATGCAATAAAGTTCGCGCTGGTCTGGGTTTACAGGCCACCCGGTGAAAGGATAACAGAGAGCGTGTGCCTGTACACGGCGCGAATTTTTTCGCGAGCAACGACGAACACCACACACGGGAGGAAGTGAAAAATTCGCTTTAACCGGCGCGGATCGATGAATCACTAGAGAGCATGTGTGGAGGCTCGACGAAGCGCGATCGAGCACATCATCGAGACCATCCGGGATATATCTCTTGGTTTGTGCGCGGTAGGCACCCGGGGCAACGTGATTTGCGTTACGGAACGCGCGAATTATGTAATGCGGTGCGTTTATTTAGAAGCGGTTCGCGCGCCCCGAACAAATGTCGCGCGGCGCGAGAAACGATAACGGCCTGAACGAGAGAAGCAGGCCTCTGGTGCTTTACGGTTACAACAATAAAACGAGGCAACCTTTCGCACACCATTATCCCGCATAGAGATATCGACGTATCTCTGCCGATCGGAAACGCAGATTTCGACGAACGAAATTTACAGAGTGGTAATATGAAATCGTGGAGCAATTATTTCTCACGCTTACAAATTGCGCCACGTGTAGAGTTTAACCCTTGTTTCGCACGATTAATTGCTAATCTTTCGCTCAACGCTTTCCGCTTTACTTATTAGCCTTTTGCACTCTGCTGGCGCCGCTACGGCGACATTCGTAATATGCATAATTTCATCGGCGCTGCCACGGCGGCAAGAGTAATTTGCATTGCAATTTCAAATTGGAAGATTGTTTGTACAGGTAGCAAAGAACAGTTTGCTTTTTTCTTTCGGTTTTCGAACGTTTCACGGTAGAAGTGTGCTTCATGCTCGATCGTATAAAGAAGTGATCGAAGAAATTAAGTTGAAATTAAAACAGGCCTCAGGTCATAATTTCCCCGATACGTTGCTGAAACGCTCGGCAGCGAGCTTAATGTGCGAGAGCACGAAGAAAGGAAACCGCTGAATTGGCAGTCATTTCGATAAATACACGTTGAACGAGCAAATGATCGTAATTTTCATGGCGGAGGATGCCTCGTGGCCACGTACGATTCATGCGTGTCGCGATATCTCTATTATCCGCTATAGAATCGTCCGCTGTAGGGGTACGTGTCCGTTTCAGAGTAAAACAATCGCGAGCTGCTCTAGAGAGGCAAATTTATCACTGTACACTGTGTTGAGAGTACTCTCGAGAGCAACCTTCGCAAAAAACCTAAAGCTCCCTTTGCAAATTTATCAGTGGACTATTCAGAGTACCGGCGGAGAGCTGAGCACACACTCTCGAGAGCAACCGTTGTAAAAGCCTAAAGTCCCCCTTGCAAATTTATCAGTATACTATTCAGAGTACTCGTAGGACGTGTACCCTGAGATACGCTCTGGTCGCGAAGTGTCGCGACGATTTCGCGTGGAGAGTTTAGAGAGGAAGCAGGTAGTCCCTAAAGAGGGACATTGGTAGTAGGGAGTAGGGCCTGAGGGCCTCCCTGATACACGACAGCGTGGAATGCGAAAGCGTGGGTTCGCCTCGGTTCGGCTGAAACGCGATCTCGATCCACATCGAGGAGGCAGCCTCAGGCGAAATACGCGAGCGAGCGATCGCTCGACCGATCGCCTCTCGTAATACGCTGCTACGCTGATCGTATTATGTGTGCACCGTATGTACCTACATACAATTTCTACACAACAAGTGTTCGTATATGTGTACCATGCGAGAGAGCGTTTTCACTGTCCCTCGCGAGGAGAGCGCGCGCGTTACACGCACGTATAGCCAGAACTCGAAGAACTGGAAAGTGAACGAGAGAGCCCTCGCCGCTCGACCGGTGCTCGTTACGTTGCTTCCCTCGCGGCTCGACACTAACAACCGGAGGAAAGGAGGGAATAGTAGTATGCACTTTCTCCTGAATCCGTGGCACCGTCTCATCCGCGATATCTTATTCTAAGCTCGTGGTGCTCTCGTTCTTATTGGTAATGGGGGAGCAAAGGTGGTGGTAATATTGAATAGAGGGGGTGAATCTGAAAGAAGGAAATCTACGTCGGACCTTCGATCCGACATAATCTGGAAAGTAAAAGGTGGACATTGTAGACGGATATCGTATATTTCCCCGCTACATTGCCATGCAAACGTTCAAGCTTGTATAGTTACGAGATGGTTATTGCAACGAATAGCCGATAATAAACGTCCGGAAGGGAAAGCTTGATCTCTACCACGGAGATATACTTTGATATTCAGATTTCCAGTAGGACGTGTAATTTGCATAACAGAAACTTTTCTACACGTCATAATTAACGCTACGGATACCTGTCCATTTCAGAGTAAAACTATCGCGATTTACTCTCGAGAGAGTCTGTGCACTCAGAATGCTTGCGTACACAATTCGAGTGAACTCTCGAGAGTGGTTATCGTAAGAAACTGTCATATGGACGCACACCCTAAGCTCTTCTCTAAAACGTTTAGAATAGCACGACGAAGTGGCAGTATAATTGTCCACATAATGTAGGGCCGTTTTAAGGCAAATCCTCCGGAATCTAAACCAGTTATTCGTCGAGGTAACGATACAGGAAGCGACGTCGTCGGTGGTTGCATTGTTAGGACCGCTCTGAATGGCATAACCCGTCGCAAGAGGGAGCTGAATGAGGTGGCCTGAAGGCAGGTTGCTTAGTCCCTCAGAATGTATGATGACTGACTTAACTGGAGTGGATAGAGGCGCGCGTCTGGGTCCACGGTATAAATAGATGCTACCACTTACCGTCAATTCAAAGTGAACACAAGACTCGAGCTGCTCGCTGCTTGTGCTCGCGACCGGCTACGTACGGAGGCCTGAGGCGCGTCACGAAACAGCACCGATAGCTAAATGCCACCCAGTGGCGTAACTAGTCTTTCAAGGTCGACGATTCGCGAGAAATACCAATTTCGACCGTGTTCCCGTACCACCTTGTACCGTTCACTTTAACCCTTTTAACCCCAGACGAGCAGGGAGAAATAAAATCGTTACATTTCTCTGATCGGGGTGAGGTTTGACCTCTCCTCGATTGATGCATGTCATCTTGATCAACTTCTTCTCGCGATGACCACTTTATTTCGATAAATAAATACAAATATATTGTTTAAACGAAACTGAGAAATCTATTCTTCGCAAGATTGCGTAGGTGTGCCTGTGTAACCGTAGAACAGCCGAGGACAGAATTGATCCATCGGATCGCGATAGATGATAAAACGGTACATTGATCGCGATCGCGCGATACACGGGACGTTTGAAATTCGACGCTACGCCCGTGACTATTCAGAGTACCATGACCCCCGATTACGAGGATCGGAGTTAATCGTTCCTAATTTATGTCCAGCGACTGCATGGCGGTAGTGTGTACACGCTGGTATTCTAAGCGAGGGAAAAGACCAGCTATGCCGACTGGAAATTCCCGTAGAGAGAGAGAAAGAGAGAGTACCGTTTCCGAAACGACTTATTCGCTGCAAAATACACACGCGTGTGTGTGTATGTGTGTACGTCAGTCGAACCGTTAAGAATAATCTGGCCAAAAATCTGCGGCGCCATTGGTGTGATGCGTTCCAAAGTCCGCGAGCATAATCCGCACAGCGTAAACAAGCAAATCACGTGTGAATCGCGTAAATTGAATTTTATTCACGACCGGAGAGAAGTATATTTTTTACAAAGTGAAAATATCAAGTTCACCTTTGAGAGTTTGAAAAAAAGAGAGCGTTCGAGAGGAGAGGAACCGTGAAAGACGCCAGAGGCGCGGACGATTTTTCAAACGGGAGTTTATCGAAGGCACGGATCGCTGAATCGTCGATGCAACAACGGTTATGGCTGCTCCGGCTGGACATGCTCGATTTGCCAGGCGCGAATGCCGTAATAAAGCAGTAGCTCGCATGCACGGTTGAGCTTTATAAACCGAAGACGTCGTCTCGACGGCTCGTTAGCGGGTGGAGTTATTAAGTGGCCGCTCGTTAACGGCCTCGGAGCCCGGCAGTCGTTAGCGTGGTAGGAGGGAACATACCGGAACATATTTCGCCATTACCTCCGATGTATCGATAAGTTAACCCCTTGAACAGAGTAGAGGAAATACCAACTGATACCTCGACAAAAAAAAAGAAGTGAAATTGGGTCGTTTGCGACTCCGACTTTTACGAGGGAGATCATAAAAATAAACGCGCGAGACCAGATTATGCAATTACGTTCGAGGGGAATATACTTTGGTTGATTTATCGGGTGGGAATTTTTTCGCAAAAATCGTTCGGAATATCTGCCGCTGAGACGAATCACAGATTTCACACGGTCTGCTCCGAAAAATCCTTGAACTCGTTTAATGGTATCGATGGCTCGCGATGGAGCGTATTCCGCGCGCCACGGACCGAAGCGGTAATTGATCGGCACGAAGTCTAACACGCGGCATTACATAAAACCCGTTTAGGTCGCGCATGAGTCTGCCTTCTCTTATCCTCTCGGTCAATGCCATGCAGCGTTAACGCGAATACAAAGATGGTATCTGAGTTGGCTTACGGCTGTATATATGCCTCCACCCGTGTATATACTCTCTTTTGCTCCCTTACCTTGACCGTTCGAGTGATTCTGCTGGGGCGACTGGGGCTGGCCCTGCGTCAATATAATTTGACTCTCCAGTTGGTGAAGCTCTGCCTGTAGCTCGTTCAGCTTACTATTCGACTTTTTCACGATCGTCGCCACATCCGAGAGCGCTTTACGATCGGTCGCCACTTCTCTCAGCTTCTCGGCGCCAGCCTTTATCTTCAGCTCCTGCAACCAAACACAACGAACGTATATACATACACGCGGTCTCTCTTCGGTCCGTTTTATGGCGAAGCCTTTTGTTACGGATCGTCCAGGACAAACGTATCCCGCCACCTCGTTGAACGAAGAGAAGCAGCAGAGAACACACCAACCGGCCAACCACGGGAATTTCGCTCCACGGAATTCAAACACGGACGATCGTTATTATCGATCCGTCGATCGTCAGACCGCGTCCAGAGACCACTCCTCTCCCCGAAGCAAATGAGACGTAAAATTGTACTCGTGTTCATGCCCACGGAGAAGCTCTATCCTTTCATTCTATTACCTCCTATTACATTTACCATAAACTTTTCTCCCCATGGTGAACACACACACTTGACAGGCGTCCCGGTCCTCTTATCATTCTAATATCACAGGCTGTGAATAATATTTGCGAGCGGTGCTCAAAACGAAACGATTTACCTACTCCGTTCTAACGCAAGAATCTGTTTTACCTGAGTTCGTCTAGCATGATTTACGGCTACGACTATCTAAGCTTCGAAAGACGTTACGCAAATGCATGGACTTACGATTATAACGATATATCAACGAGTGTAATTGTATTTTTGCTTGAGTGCGGTCGGCTCGAAGCAATTACTGAATCACGAGACTCCGCAGTGAAGAGGAATCGTGGAGCAATTGAACAAGGAATGTATTTATACGAATACATTTTTGTCAACTCTACGTTACACCCTCCAATTTTCATTCGCTCTTTTCGTTACACACCTTTCAGAATCGTTTACTACTATGCAAATAGCGTAGTAGTCGGATATTTAACCGGTAAATACGTTGAAATTTCTTCGTCATCAGAAAATTATCGCGAGTGATAAGCTCAGGCAGACAGCTTGACACCTCCTCCATAGCGCGGCAAGTATCGCGCAACGAGTCACCCATTGATTTACGATCGACCGATCGAAAAGGTAGCAGCAGCAACAAGAGCACCGCTCGTTCTACTAACTCTCGTGGCGCAGAGAGGAAGAAAGAGAGAGAAAGGGAGAGCTTACGCTACACCCGTAATTTCTTATCTCATTGCGGCACGAGGGAATCCTCCTTTTTTTCTTCTTCTTCGCTCTTCCCCTCGTCGAAATAACCATAAATTCCGGCCGGGATCCATTAGTCACGTGGATCGTGCCGGTTTTCAACAGGCGTGCCATGGATCGACGGTGGCCTGACACATATCGGATTTCTTTGTTCCTCCCTTGTCGCGAGGAGGGACGAAAAAGGAGAGATAAGAGAGAGAGAGAGGTGTAACGAAGGGAACGATACAACGTAAGGCGGGTATAACGCGAGAGGAAGAGAGTATGGAAGAATCGGAGAAGGATACACCACCTCCTCCACCTCTCTTCTTCTCTTGTGTTGCGCGAAGGGGATATCGTGTGCGAGCCGCGCGCTACCGTGTATATACGGCTAGGGGAAAAAGAGAGGTTCTGGGAAGAGACGTAGCTGTGAGAAGGATAAGCGAGACTCGACATACCTTGCGTATTTCTCGGCGTATGTGCTCCCGGAGCTCGTCGAGACGAACCGGCAAGGGCACCTGGTCACTGCCAGCCACTCCATACTTGCTCGACAGTTCGTAAAGAACCGGGTGCCTGATGTAATCGCCCTGAAACAGATTCCAAATTCGATTATTCCTACGTTGCACACACACTTTCCTCTGTCTCTTCTCTATCGATTATTATCCAGGTGAAATATGAATTGGAAAAAAAAAGAAACAATGAACAAAACGAAGGATAAATTGCAAAGATTAGAGCAGCCATTCCCTGACGATTTATCGATACGTATATCGTTCACGTCCGTCCAGTGTGACGATATTTCTAAACGTAGCACGTTTTATACGTTACGTTACCTCTCTTACACAATGTTATCGCGTAATTTCACCGGATAAATTCTCCCCTAACGCGAACGCGCCCGCTAATAGGCGCCTATTTGCGTTCACCATTCGTCCTACACGTTCGAGTCTATTTCCACACCAGTTAATCCTGGCAGTGACATTTGCATTTTTCCGAGAACGTCGAAGAAGAACGATGTGCTTTGCTCGCGGTGTTAAAGCATCGGTGGAATATAATGCACACCTTGGCCACCGCCGGAAATTGTCTGGCGCGCCGCGCGGATGTGCACCGATCCACCACAGTTTCTATACTCGTTCCACGGTTTATAAAAGAGAGTACCTTCAACGGCGGAAAATATCGATCTTAACGGGTCTCGATATCCCATCCACGCCTATCTAACGGACCGTTTAATTAATTCTCCAGTCTATATTTAAATTATTCGATTGGTAATTCGACCATCGATAAAGGCGTTCGATTAATTCAGTGGCGCCATTGTGCTATCTGTAATATTCGCGATATCTGTACAAGCCCCAAGTGTATCATTAATATACTCATGGGAAAAGCCAGAAGTAATTATATGCCCGGATCGTTCTTCCTCGACATCGTGCATGGTACAGAAGTACAATGCGTTCCGTGCAAATATTGACGGAACGTCCATTCGTCGAGATACATGTGTATCTCCGATGAAATCGTTCGATTTATCAGTGACGTCCACGCTCGAGTTACGTTGCATCGATGTTGTATCGTCGGGAAAAAGTTTCAATGCGGAGAACGTACCGCACATGGTGCAACGCAGCTCCAAAAATATTTGGATTTGCACGGTTTCGTTACCGGCAAACATCGGCACGTACTCTTTCTCTCCTTGTTGACAGAAATAAACGACATTGTTCAACTTTCCTATCCGAACCTTATAAATAAACCGTCGAAATTTCTCTTCGGTTTTTAAGGTTAAGCATATCGACGATACTACTGCTTCGCGTGAAACTGTGTTCAATTTTCATAGGGCATTACACTCGCGTTCATGAATGAATTATTAACGCGTGATTGTGTGTAGAATTTACCGAAGTGATACTTTAACGTTCTACAAATGTTTGATTGTCACGTGTAATTGGCAAATAGAAACGTGTAAACGCGATTTAACGGGATCAATCTGCGTTTCCTCGCTGAGTGACGCGCGTTCACCCAGAATCTAGGCTGCGCTCTTCAACCACCTGTTGCAGAAAATCCGAGATTCTACGAGCGTTTTTATGCCCGCGACGATCTTCGCCGATGCAACTTCACGAATTCGTCGCGTTCTCCCGAGCGGTATTGCTACTTGTTGAATTTCCATGGAACCACTACTCGCGAAGCGTACTAACGTTGCACGAAACGACAGAGGAATACTTCAATGTTCCGTGTCGCACCGATTTCACGATTTCTATGGACTGACTGAAGAAACTTTGCCGATGCTTTATCTCTTATCGTGGCGATAACAGCGATTCTCAATAGCGAAACGTCGCGACAGAATTCTATACGAGAAGAAAGATTTCACGTCTACCTTAAAACCACCGCGATCTAATTATGCAATTAATTCTTCGTTGTGTACAAAGTTTGTACGGTTAAAGTGCAACGATACAAAATCGTCGCGACAAATACCCTTGTAACCTCTCTTGCAAACAATATGAGTCAGTGGTATCCTATTCTCGTTGCACGGATTCGCTCGTGAGATAGACACACCTACAAGTTGCTTAAGTTCGAAACTTTGGCGACAACGGATTCCAGAAATAGTGTGAGTTTCTGCATTCCACACGGAGGAAGACGCAGCACGATTACTAGTAAAGATAAATTTGATCGCACGGTATAATTCTCGAGCCGTTGTCACATCGAATAATTCCGATTATACTCGTGCTATTTACGCTGTTCCGAATCTCTTTCTTTAAAATTCCCGCCGTCCGATGTAATTAATGTTATTTTCCTTGGCAACGGTAGCCAAGGGGTGGCGCGCGCGAAAGAGAGAGAGAGAGAGAGAGAGAGAGAGAGAGAGAGAGAGAGAGAGGGACTTGGAATAAATCGTCAACCGAAGTCTAATCCGATCGAAGCGGCGGTTCTGTTCAAGGTTTTTCGCTCGTAATATGCGAAAGTTTGTTGCCTGAGAGCACGAAGTTAATCGTGATGGTAGTTTTCGTAACGTGCCGTAAAACGATCGCGAGCGGAACGAATTCGGGCCGTACGGTGGGTGGGAACGATTTAAAGAAGCAACGAACCCCGAGCGCGAACGCGTGCATCTTTATCGTATGTGTACTTATACGTATGTGTGTATGAGTTTGACACACTGACGCATGAGCTATTTTCATGCATTCCGTAATATGTGTGCCATGCATAATAATCCGGAGAGGTCAACAGTCGTCGCGAGCATCACTCTAACGAAGACGTAAAAATTCTCCCCCTCCCTCTCGATCGAAATATTTACGACCACGATAATATCGAGTTACCACCAAGTGGTTCGTGATGTTATTGTTAAAAAGAAACACGGGGAGGAAATGACTCGTCTTCTCGACGGTTCGTGTTCACAATATGCCCCGAGGAGCGAAAAAAGAAATTTATAGTGAACGGTTGCAATATCGGACGCGGTTAAACGATATCGTTAATGGAAAAGTTCCGCCCTTCGAAAATTCTAATCATAGCCATCTATGCCGTTATGATTAATCGCCACAAGAAAATAGAACTGAGGAATTAGCGTAGCGGTGTGCGCGAGGCTGACCAACGTGTACCATTTTATTTTTGGGTTACGCACAACGTAAAGCATCTGTTAGCAAATTGCGAAAGTCACGTATATCTAGCAACGTTGAACAATCAACTCGTGTGATAATGATCGTAGCTGGGTTAACGCGATATAAAACGCGAGTTGGATCGTGTAAAATTCATTTTTCGTGTTTCGTTATCGTTCGATGGTAAACATGTCAAAACTCTTTGAAAACGGGACTGAATGTTACACTTCGTTGAATATCTGACCGATAATGATGGGAAATTCATAAATCAAAGATTACGAATTCGATAGAACGGTTCGAAAGACGAACCGGTAATCGTTGATGCATAGATTTGATCAGGACGATGCGTTAAGCTAGCGCTATCTCCGCTGCAATGGAGTTACCATACCGATCACGCTCCTGTCAGAATAATTCTCAGCCGTTACTTGACTACGCTTTGACAAACGTGCCTCGCACTGTACACCTATGCCCCGTAACGTCAGGAAATACCACTTGCCGACCGAAACAGGTGCTACCAGGAACTGTTTGGAAAGTTCTTGGAAATGCGAATTGAACCTATATCGAGTATGTGAGTCTCGTCACGCCTCGTTTAACATGAACCGGGCTGAAGGCGTTAATAGTCATGATCCAGTAATAAATCACTGATCATCATCGTCTTTAAGGAAACATTCCTCGAGTCTAGAGAGAGACAAGTGCGAGCGCGTTGTCGGCGAATGATCGCAAGGAGAAGAATGGAGCAATATATAAAGTACTTAAATTACGCCCAAAGCGATCTTTTATTATGGCGGCTGGAATCATCGGTCGGGCGGCGACCAACGCGTACCAGTTCGTAAAGAGAGCGTGGATGGACCTGCGACTCACCTGATAATAGCTTGATTCCGCCATCTTGGACACTATACTCCACTCACTCACTCACTGCTTTCTATCCGTCCTTTGTGCATGGAACGACGAAGTCCATTGTGTTTACACGAGTAACGTACGTTGCACCACCGAATTGGTTGGAAGTGTCTGCATCTCATGTATTACCACGCACGCTTGTCGGCCTCGTCCGCGAGACGTTTCCAAGAAAATCTTTGAATAGGAAGCGACACGAAGTTACTACCACAGAGATGTATGAATGAAAGACGCGCGATTCGCGAACAAAACGCAGACACGGGCGCATTCCACCGCACCAGACTGAAGACTGACGGGAAGTACCGGGCCAATCGTTGGCCAAAGGCGCGCGCACCCTACTCCGCCGTTAACGCTAAAGGGGAGTTCACGATGTCACTTTTACGACACCTCGGTGATACAGCCTTTATCCATTGGTCAATTCCAGTGGAACTGAGGATTAAGCAAATGTTGTTGAAACTTACATCTTGTAAGAATAACAAAACATCAGTCGTGGAGAATGAGGCTTAACCTTATCGAATTAATCCATTAGTATCTTTTATTGTACTTTTGAAGGAAAATTTTTTGAGAGATTAAGAGATACATGGCCTCATATAAGTTATTAAATTTATTAAAAATTATTTTACATTCATGTATTATTTACATATTTGACCTTTTGTATAATTATGTTTTAAAAAAATGTCTTTCTTCATGTACATTTAAATTGAAATTAATGTCTTCAAAAGATCCTCGGGTGTTCTTGAAAATAGACTACTTGGGTTTTGATACAAATTTTTTGGGTCGTGACAAGCTTCGTACAATTGTTTATAAATAGCTCCAATTACTTCAAAGGAGCGTTTCTGCGTTACTGAACGATGATTGCTACTTTGCAATAAACTTATTTGCGGTAATAATAATACATCTGGCATTATTAAAAAGGCTTCCAGTTTGTTCTGTAAAATATTGAAAATTTTAAATGAAACTGTTTAAATATTTCATTAACTAATAAAGTAATGATTACATACTGTAAATTCTTTTACACTTAAGGCATCCATCCCAGGAATGGAAGACAGTGGACCTTGTTCATGCCCTTGCAAAATTGTATAAATGGAACCAAGATTTAAGTGTGCTACTAATGAAATGGCTTGTTCTGATGTAAGAGTATCAATTTGTGCATCAGATTGAGCCTAAAAAAATGTTACTTTATCAATGATAAATCAAATAGTAAAAACCCGCAAATTAGAATAAACCAAATACCTGTAATCTTTCTAGTCTTTGATCCATATATTCATATAGTGCTAAAGTAGATTGTATTTGATGCATACAATTTAGAAGATATACAGCCATGTCTACTGTAGGTAATCTAGATGCTGTTTCGTTAACTTCTTGCAAAAGTGGATCAATAATGCATGATACTATCTGTAAATCATTCAGTGCATAAATTTGAACATAATAATTTTATAAATTAATTGAATATTGTTATGATACAAACCTGTAACATGTCTTTCTCTCTACCCTCTGCAATGCTTGCTACAGAAAGGATTTCATTAAGAAGTGATAATAATCTGGAAATGGATGGAGCAGGTACTAAATCGTTTCCTGGAGGTTCTGCACGGTCACCAAGTGCAATGCGCGTCTCCCTTTGAAGTCTACTAAGAAAACTTTTTTCACTCAGTATTAATAAATCGGCCAACATTGAATCCAGGGTACTATCTGGTATTACTTGCTGAATTATCGCGCGATAAAATCTAAGAAGAGTTGTAACAGAATATAATACTGTTGCTGGGGCATCCATTGATACAATATGTTCTATTCTTGACTTCAAAGGATGGCAAAGTCCTTCTGTGATATTACTTAAAGATTGTTTAATCTGATCTGACACATCTAAAATATAAAATAAAAACTAAGAAAAATAAAGGTAATGGGACAATCACTCAGTTCTTACCTGCTTTATCACAGTTTTTCACTAAAGTAAGGATATTTTCCTTTTCAACAGGTATAGCTTGATGAAGCCAAGCAAGCATATCACCAATGTATCTTTTAGGATCATTTGCATGCATTTCAATAGGATTAGGTGTATTACCATATCCTTCCCCTAATGTTAGTGCATCTATAAAAGATCCCACTAATGCAGTTTTCCTAGCTGCACAATACTCATCTAAAATATATCTAAAAGAATACAAAGAAGTAAGTAAAAGGTAGCTTATAAACTATGTACTGTATCTCTTAGATTTTAAATATATACTTGAATAAAACTGGTCTATCTTGTAACTTATTCATTGCCTTGATTAGCAATGGTGCTAATCTTTCATTTTCAATATGTTTACACTGGTTTTGTGTCCATCTATATAGTCTTTCAAGGGCTGCCTCTTGCAAAAGTGTCATTCTTTGCATAATATCTAGTCCTAAAGTTTGGTATCCTGACTGCATTAATACTCTACACCTGCTGTGTATCTCCTACAATTTCAAGCATTTATTAGACATATTTCTAATAATCATAAAACTGTTAATCTATATTTTTATTATTATACCTGAACCCGATTAATTACAGAAAAAAATTCTTCTGTAATAGGTGAATCTCTAGTAGAACCATGTAAAACACTTAGTTCTGATGAAGTCAATTGAAAATTTTTAATAAATGCAGTTGCAACTTCCTGTTGCATAGATAAAGTTTGACTGAAATGTCAATATTTTTGTATTTAAATGTTAATTCATTCTAAATACCATTCATTCTAAATACTAATTAAATATACCTACCTCTTATTTTGAAGTTTTCCAGTTTGATCAATGAGTTGTGATGTTTGAGTTTTTGTTACTTGTAAACGATTTGTCATACACTGAACTGCAGTATTCATAGCTAAAACGTCTTGATATACGTCGTCTAAAGAAGATTTTACTTCCCTAAATGCAGACAAGAATTCTTCATTTATTGCAAGACTTCTCCTTTCTATTTTACTACGTAAATTTCTGCGAGAACTCAATGTATTTTCGGTAAAGAAAGTAGATAATTCTTTTAAAGCTTCTAATGTATCCTATAAAAAATAATATAAAGTAAAATGTTTACTTTATACTAATTATAATTAAAAATATTTAAATTACAGCATGAATACCTTGTCATGCTCTACTCTCGATTCGAGTAATTTGTTCACCCTTCGAACTAGAGCAGTGTTAGTATTTTTTTCACTCATTTTAAATATGTTACTTCCTTTACTGTCAAATTCATTGGAACATGTAACCTATTTATTTCGGAATTGTCACGTAGCAAAAGTACGCGCATAGCTACGTATATAAAGCTTATAGAATACGTACTCAATTACGTATACAGTTTCGAGATCAGTATGAACTCGTGAGCATGTACGTAAAATACCGCTAACTTTAAAAAAAACTCAAGTTTGAAAATTTTATATTTTTAATTATTTCACGAAGAAGTAAGTGCTATTTATTAAATTATATTGATAAAGTATAATGCATATTAGAGTGTTAACATGATAGAAACTATTTCATTTCTATGTCTACTTAAAGTTCGGTACTAACGTCCGCAAAATTTTAAACCTGTCGGAGGCAAGTAAAATATTGTGATACATTTCTTCGTTACCATTTTAGTTCACCATCTAAGTTATTCTAATTTCGCGGAGAGGGTATATTTGCAAACTCAATATGTCATATCAACGTCGTGCTTTCTCATTCATTAAGTGACTTTACATTTATTAAATATGTACTGTTTTAGTGAAATAAAGGCTTAATGAATTATGATTTTACATTGCAAACGTAGTTCATGTAGAAAAAGATTGTAAAGTAGCAAATACCTCTTTTTTCTATTGAGGTTAGTATTTTCTTTCAATTAACAAGAAATATAAATGTTAATGTTAAGTATTTAAGTTCGATTTCTCGTAGTTGACACGTTATCATAATACTAAATTATTGTAAAATATTGTTCGCATTATTTCTTTCACATTTTCTCTTTTGTTTTTTATTTATTCAACCTACAAAATGATTTGTGTATTTGTAATAGAATACTTTGAATAATAAATTTCTCTTTAAGTTCATAAACATGCCTAGTTATTCCAATATACTGTTACATTGTATTGAATAAACTATATTTATCATATAATTTATATTAAAGACTGTTTTATTATGTACTTTTGTAATAATTTAATTTTAATTTCTTTTTAAGTATGCATGGTTTCATTTAGTTTATTGGTGGTAAAATGTCCACGTCAGAGTCTGGTGTGGGATGTATTAGTGAAGTTACACTTGCAATTAGTAAAGCAAGGGGTTCTCAGACAGGCAATCTAAGAGTTCTTGATAGTCCGGACTCTGATGGATCTGGCCATTCAAATTCATTTACTGTACAACGTTTTAATTATCCTGACAATGATAATGCAAATTCAGATATTTTGCATCCTCCATTGACTAGTGATGATTTAAGAATACCAATTGTTGGATATGAAGTTATGGAAGAGAGAGCTAGATTTACGGTTGGTAAATTGTAAATTTATTATGCTACAGTTATGTATCAATTTTTTTTGTGTGCAATATGCATGTTGTTTCAGATTTATAAATTACGAGTAGAATTAAAAAATGGAGATTGTTGGTTTGTATTTAGAAGATATACAGATTTTGTTCGTTTATTATCACAGTTAAGAAGACAAAAAATTCCAATTTCACAATTAAGTTTGCCAAGGAAAAAATGGCTTGGTGATAATTTTGCTCCAAGCTTTCTGGAGGAAAGGATACGTGGTCTTCAAGCATTTGTTAATGGAATATTAAGTAGTCCCCTTCTTATAGGAACTGCTTGTGTTAGAGAATTTTTTTGTTTAGATGAACCACCTGCTTTGTCTGATACTGCAGAAGAATCTAGAGTAAGAATCTATAAAATTTTTAAGTTTCTTCTATTAATGTAAATTTTAAAAGATTCATTTTACTTTATTTCTTTACAGGCAATTTTTGAAGCATTAGAAGATACAATATATCATTTAAGGCAACAATTAAGAGAAAGAGATGCTGCACTTACAGCTGAAACAGCTTTGTGTAATGAATTTCGGAAGAAGCTACATCAAATACTGAGGTAATTAAATAATGTAGTTGAATACAATTACAAGTAAATGATATTCATAATAAGTACCAAATATCAAAAACATTAAATCACCGTTTTAGTGAAAGGCAAACCTGTCCAAAATGTGGTGCGTCTCAATAACAATTTCTTATGAACTTAAAACTTATAAGCAAATATTTATAAATTGTTACACAAAGACTGGTATTAAATAGGCAACTTTTGCCATGTTTTTTGTATGGCTACAACATAAATAATTGTTATGCTAGAAATCTGTTATGTATAAGATATAATTAGTATATTTTATACTATGAATAATGCATTTTTGATTCTGTAGATTTATACAAAACAACTTAATTTTTACATGAAGTGATATGTGTAAAATTCCTTAACATAATAAGTACACTGAGCTTTCTTAGCATTAATCTTCCACCTTAACTCTAAGAAGCCTTATAAAGGTGCCTTATAGATATAGCTATTTATATTGTATATTTTGTAGTTGAACTGTAAAATTGATACAAAAACTAACAGTAGATGTTATTAGAATTTGATTACAAATACATGCCAAAGTATATTGATCTTTGGTGTTTTATAAAATTCTATATATTTTATAGTACTTTACATCATATTAGCAATGATTATTGTTTTAAAACTATAATTGACATTAATAATATTTATTGTTATCATAATATTGGAATAACAAATATTACTGAAGAATTTGTATTCCAATATGACGATGTTTAAAGAATATTTATGTACAGATATAATAAATATATGACATTTCCGTTAATTATATTTTACACTTATTGTATGTTAATTGCTGTATTATAGTCAATATTTATTATATCTCTGTGGTTACTTTATAAAACATTTTACAATACTGCACAAATATAAAAATATTATTATACATTGGAACTAATTCTGTTTTATAGAAATATGGAACTTTTTTCATTAAAAAATGTAAAATGAATAAAAATGTTACTAAATATTATTACGTTGTGTCACTTGATTCATATTCATCATATAAACACTAAAATTGATATGTCTTTAATAATGATAATGGTCGAGAAATGTAAAAATCTCATTCGATCGCTAAATTATACTCAAACTTAGTCCATATAGTATAGCAAACACGTTATTCCAGTATGTATGTACAATGAAACGCGAAAAGAAAAGTTATTTCGCATCAGTCTTCTTTATCCGGAGAAACAACTAGACATAATGCTTGGATCAGGTACGTGAGTCTCCCTAGAAAAAAAAAAAAAAGGAAAATAGTTCATCTTATACACTGTGATAAAATAAATTTCCATCTTACGAGAAACATATACTCACTCGCCAAAGTACTCCTGGCTTTCTTATACACGTACGCATGGTAGATACCGATACCGCAAAGAATAAATAAGAGCGCAAACAGGTATTTGAACGACGGTTCATGTATGATCGGTGTTACAGCCAAGAAAATTGAAACTATTAATACTAGCCAAGGTATTACGATCGGTACAGCGTACGGTCTAGGTGCATCTGGTTTCGTCCGTCGCATAATTATCAACGATATCATCGCAAGTCCGTAAAAGACCCAAGTCAGAAAACTAGCGAATTCAATCAGTGCTATAATATTTCCTAATAGTAGACAGACCAATGCTAGCAACCCTTGAAGTGCTACTGCTGCTGCAGGTGTCATCTTCTCAATATGTACAAAGCTAAAAACACTGGGTACGTGGCCTTCGGTTCCAGCCACGTAGCAGAGTCTGGATACTCCAAATTGAATACTAAGGCTGCATCCAAAGGTAGACAAGGCAACACCGAGTGGTATCGCGAAACCTAACCAAGGAGGCAATACTTTTTTCGCCCAGAGGACCGCTACAGCTGGCGCGCTGACCATTTCCGGCATTGTTAGAGCCGCCATGTACATCAGGTTCATCGAAACGTACAAAACAGTGATCAGGGGTACAGCGATTAGTATACTTCTAAGTATATTGACTTCTGGTTTTTGAATCTCTTCCGTGACAATTGCAGCTGAAGTCCAACCGTCGTAAGCCCATAATCCACTGTAAAAGGCCAATGCAACGTTACCAAGTGAAATGGTGCTACCGTGAAATGGATTTTCCAATAATTCCGTGTGTCCAGTAGACAACCACCAAATCCCACCTCCGATTACGAACACACACGCGATTACTTTGCATACGGTGAATATATTCTGAACTTTCACGTATAGCTTAACGCTTGTCAGATTGATGTACGTGATCAGGCCAAGAGCTAAAATAGCTATGAACTTTTTCAGCTTGAACATCGATTCCTCGGGAAGGTTGGTCAGATATCCAGAGAATGGTTGCACGCTGTATTCAGCGAATGTCAACATAACGACCGCTACTTCCGCTGGTCGTAATAATACCACGTAAACCCAGGAACAGATAAAAGCTGGTATTTGTCCAGCGTAATTGTGCAAAGGCGAGAAAGCTTCAATGAAGTAGGCATATTCGGCACCGGATCGTGGCACCACTGTGCTTAATTCGGCGAAAGCGAGAGCACCTAACAGAGATAGGAAGCCGCACGTAATCCAGACGACTAGACAAAAGCCAACCGATCCTGATCTCTCGAGGGCGCTGGTGGGCGACACGAAAATTCCAGAACCTTGAATGAAGAATAATTCCTCGGTTAACAAGATCGTGAAATATTTCGAGAAATTGATACAATATATCTTTATCACGTGGTGACTTTTATCAGTTTATTGGTTTTCCTGTACGATTCTATAAGGATTATGTAATGTGGAAAAAAACGTGGAGTAATAAACACGCTCGAGGATAAACAAGAGTATTTCCTTTTTTTATCACGTACTCGAAAATACAGAAATATATATGTACAATGTAGGCTACCCGTAAGTATCGGAATCTGAAATATTTGAATGGTACATATAAAACATTTTTTCTGGTTTACATTGCCGATAAAATCTTCACGATAAAAGTCACGTCACATTCGACGATAAAAGTATAGCACGATAGATTTGTCAGCCTGCAAAGTTCGATTAAAATCGACTAGATATACTTAAGGAAGATGCCTCGTAATACTCGAGCGCGTGGGTCAGCGATTAACCTTGATTAACCCTGTTAATTCGTAATCGTGTCAAAGCTCTGCGCATAATTAGCGAAATGTTACGTCAGGTTTTATTCTTTTCCCGCCTGAAAGTGCAACATATGGTTTCTTTTGCAAATTATGCTTGATTAAGCCGAAATTGAAATGGGGATTGCTTATACATCATGTGTATAATTTTTTCCCAATTTTCGATTATCTCGTTCTAACTAGATTGGCTGGATTATATCTGGGTAATCTAGATGTTTGAAATGTTTCATTTGATTGTACCGTAATGTCTCCGATAAAGTATCAGGATTAAAGTACACTCTTGATTTATGGACACGAAAAATATTAGGTTACTGGTTTGTCCATTATGAAAGTTCCAAGTGTACATTATAAACAATGATGTCACTTCTGTCAAATATTTTTCCAGCTAATATTATTATTTATTTATCGAACTTATCAAGCTTAACGTTTAAAAAACAAAACTCGTCCAAATGACGAATTTTAAATTTGTTATTTTAAATTACAGGAATTATTAAGATGCTTTTGTCTTAGTGACTTTTTTAAAAATAAATAAATAATTATTTATGCTAGTTTATTTTCCATTAATCGTTCTAATTTCGAAGTTCTTCATATGGTATACTTAACCTAACCAAAAGGGACAAAATATACTGCATTCAATTCCGGCACAACGACACTAAACGGCTGTAATTCAATGACAATAATTATTAAATGAAAAATTCAAACCAATACTGGTATTAAAGACGACGTACAAGTAATGGATTACTTGAAAGGCCAAGAAGCAACCCTTCGCAGTCAAAAGGGGACACTGTGAGAATGTAGCCAGGCGATGTTGTGATTCTTTATTGAAGAAGATAAGCTGCATACATCGTTGTTAGTATAAAGCCGAACCTTATTCAGATCCACACAATTATGCAATCATAGTTAACTATTCTTAAACACGGTGCTCTGGCATTGAAGGGGTTCATTGGATTTCTACAGTTCTTCGAGTGTTTATCCTTCGATATCTATTTGTTTTTAATTATTGCGTTAATACTATTTGAACCGAAGATAAATAGAATTTATAACGAAACTGTTATCTACATCCAATGTGTAACTTACAGAGAGCAAAGTATGTACATAGAATATTTCCTCATGTTATGTCGATGATATTAAGTATTGACAGTTGAAAGGAATGAAATATCTCGAGAAACGATCACGAGGATGTTACACGTTTCTTCCATGTGCGGATAATTAAATTTAGTCTGTCCGACTGTTGTTATCGTTTGTGAAATGGACTTACGACAGTATCGATATTGACTTACTATTATCTGCGCGAATGCGGCGATACTTTCTCCTATGGTAACATATGTTCTTAAATCAAATAACTGTCTTTGCACGTTCGAACGTCAAACTTCTTTCAAATTTACCTCACTTTTACGTCAACATTGATAAATGTGTATAACGTAACGCTGACGTTGTAAGAGGCTTTTACATTTAACATATTATATGTACAGTATTTAAATTTGAAATTGTGGAGATGTTCGTAGGCTGAAACGCGATCCGTTACAGACTGTTGGCAACGTGGTTCATTGTTCGAATATTTGATGTCGCAAGCATAAACATTTCATTATGTAAGCATAATAAAGTGGAACAATACTGATAACATATAATGATATTTATAATCTTTAACAATTATCCACTGGACTCGTTAACACGTCGAAGAAAATTGATTACCTACAGTCGTTAAATATACAAGTTAAAAAAAAAATGAAGAAAAGATAAAAAAAAGATAATAATTGGTATACATGCTGATTGAATTCTGAGTAACGAACGTGACATTTGTGCCGGAAGAAAACACTCGTTATTTAATAATTTTGATTAGTCGTAACTCCGATGAAAGTACAAAACAACGTCACGCTGTGTTCAATTAATTTTAAAGACGTCACGTTTTCGTAGCTATTTTCATACCGATCATAACAGCCACGATGATACTGACTGCGCTGAAAAGACCTAGCTCTCGTTTCAGCCCAATTTTTTCATTTCCTTTTTCCTCGTCTTGTCCCATTTTGCACGCGGTTCGACTAAACTCTTAACAAGGTGGACTGTTTCGCCACGGAATTATCCAATTCACCAGCACTGACAGCGAACTTTTTCCGTTTTCGAATTCAAAGATTCATCGCGCGAACCTTAACGCCCGATTATCAAACCGTCTTCGATCGGCTCTATGTTCAGTCCGCGTAAGAAAGACACGAATCGGCTTCTTCGTGCCTTAGAGCCGGATCGAAGACAATGTGACGTTATCGAAAGATGTCCAGAACGAGACTGAAGTGTTAACGGGTCAGCTTGTGGCTTATTCTTAAAGGCGCACGATGGTTCCCCTGATAAGAATACTCCATACCCTCGCCGCAATGTAACGATATCTTTGACGATCAGTAGCTAAACGTTTGCTACTGACGAATTTACGGGGGTACGAAGACGTACATGGGCGTACACGAAGATGAGACCGCATGGTAATACCTTAATGTAAATGCTTGGGGTTCGAACGCGAATTAACATGGACACAAGTCCACGTCTTCTCTTGTAACCAATGACCGTATGATTAGTGAGCGTTAAAAGAAGTGTTTACACAAAATTTACAAGCTCGTGAATATCTCTATGGCAGTGCGTGCGTCACCTTTCGGTAATCAGTCGTATTTTCGGAGTGTATTATGAAGTTTTGTTACAAAGAGGTACCAATCAATAAGATAATTCGGATTCCACTCGATTCTATTCGAATAATAGTATATAACACGATAGGAAGCTTATGTCTTTACAGCTCAAGTTCTTCCCTGGCCTCGTTAGTTTGATGCTCTTCTCTCATCGGCGATTAAAATTGAAAATATTCTTCGCGGATATGTCATGCGTCATGCAAATTTATCGGGAGCACATTTATGTGGATCGAAGATAAAACAAGCTTTTCAGAGGATTTGAATAATTTGTGAGTCATCATTATCTCTAAATTGAAAAGAATATTATTCGATTTCGCAAATTTTCGTCGACTTTTTATCTTAACAATACAATATGTTTTCTTGCAACGTTCACGGCTGCTAAAATTGAATTTTACATACCCCTTATCTATGATGTGGCTTCTTTTATAATTAAAGTGTTAATTAGAAATACTGAAACTAAATTAACGTAAAAACTGATGGGAAGTAAATCACGCAGTGTAATATTCGTTTTACCTTGCACAGCATATTATTTGAACCATATGTCCGCAACACGTGCCTGTGACTTTAGAATGGAGAGCATGCGTTTTAACGCGACATCGAAAATATATCGTTTTCATAATTTTTTTTCGTCAATTGTTTATATTTAAAATTGAATTTACACCGTATTGAAAATAAAGTTATAATTAGAGTAAATGAGAGTATGTTCGTTCTATTTGATATTCTGTTTTAAGTGTTCCTGATTTTGTTTGACAGATAATTAAGGTTAACGTGTTACAGTGAACGCGCGTATAACCTGTCGAACTCGCTAAACATTGATTAGCGATGGAAGATGAAGAAAAAAAGTGTCAAGATGAAGAACCCAGTGAATTCTACTTTGAATCTGATCATTTAGCATTAAAAGGAAATAAAGATTATACTACGCTTTTAAAAACGATCGTAATTCTTGAATCGCAACGGGTTCAAGCCATAGAAGATTTGGATAAACTTTTATCAGTACGTTCCAAAGCACTGAAAGATCCGATATCTTTCGTAGCTCAGATACAAAATGGTGAGCTACCAGAATTACCAGGACCGCAAAAAATTGCGGAAATTCCTTACATTGATTGGGTACAATATAACATAGCTACACCTGATATGCGTATGAGGCCACAAACAAGACATGGACATGTTTTGCCCCATGTACAAACAAAGACAGAACAAGAGAATGGAAAGGTACTTATACCTTACATATATACTTAATAAAATATTATATTTTTTACATGCATTAATTTTTATTGTGTTCAGATTTTAGTGAGAGGACGTGCTTTTGATGAAAGTAAACCAGAGACCTTTAATCAATTGTGGACAGTGGAAGAACAAAGAAGATTAGAAGAACTTTTAATTGAATATCCACCAGAAGATATAGAAATGAGAAGATGGACCAAAATAGCTAATGCTTTAGGTACATTATTAATAGATCTTCTTTCATTTCATTTATAAATTAATGTTAATTTTTGACTAGGTAACAGAACTCCAAAGCAAGTCTCCAGTAGAGTCCAGAAATACTTTATTAAACTTTTAAGAGCTGGGCTACCTATACCTGGCAGAGGTCCTAAAATGAAATTGGATGCTAAAAAGGGAATGGGTCACAGGCATCAACGTAACAACTATTCATTATTTAAACGTTCTACTTTCTTTCCACATCAGGATATGTCTTTTACACTGCCCGATGAAGGCAAAGAACAGCCAATTACAGAAGACTCTGTATGTACTACTTCATTTTTATATATTCATGTATGTCTAATTTTTATTATTTATACTGTTTATGTTATAGGAAGATGATGCAGGAAATAGTATTATTGATGATAATCCCGAACTGAGACAAATCGAGTTATTAAGACAAGTGAAAACTGAGAAAGAACAAAATCCGTCTCCTGTATATAAGCATGTTGGACACAAGGTATATAAATGGTTTAAAACAAAAAAATTGTAAAATAACTTAAAATTTAATAATCCCCTTGCTTTTTACAGTGTTTAATATGTGGAGAAGATCCTTTAACAGGTACAAGGTGGCATTGCACAGAATGCCAAGATGGAATTGACTTATGTAGTGATTGTGCAGTTGCACAGTTGGAAATTGAAAAACCACTACATGATGTATTACATAGACTGATTCCTGTAAAACCGCCTCAATATAGTAGAAGTTACGACTTAGATTATTTTCCACAAAGTTTTAGTAATTCTTCTTATAATTACTTAGATCCAAATTTTTTACCTGAATGATTATTATTTTATCAAATTTACATTAACAGAATTTTTATTATAAGAACAGAATGTAAAAATAATTTAATATTAAACTATTAACATTTTCTAAAACATACGGTATGTGTTATTATACGTTATAGCTTCTGTATTTGTAGGTTCATCTGTCTGGATGACATTTTCTTGTTTAAATTTTAAATTAACTTTTTTTTTACAATCTTCCAAGGTATTATCTTTTATACTTTTGCGAATAATCTTAAAAAATTCAAGGTACTGGTGCATATTGTGTCTGTAAATGTAAATTAATATATGCATTTATAGTGTGATATTAAAAAATTACTTGCAATGTTGCTAGGTAATTGAAACTTACATCATTAAGAGAACTGCACGAAGTAGTTCTTTAGTTCTACATAAATGGTGTAAATATGCTTTGGTATGATTTTTACATGTGAGACATTCACAGTGAGAGCATATTGGAGAAAAATCTTCTGCATACCTGTTGTCAAAAATCATTATTAGAAAAAAGAATAGTTATAAATTTAATCCTGCATTACCTTTCTTCTTCCAATGATATCACATGCCCTACATTGTTACAGTTATCACGATCACATAAAAAAGTTAGTGCTTGTAAATTCTCAGTAATTACATAAGGATATGATGTATCAAATACATCTATACCTAATTCAACAAGATTTAATACTGTAAGAGGATTCCAACTTCCCATTGATACTTTCAGCTTATCAGCAGGTAACAAATTCTGCAAAAAAACAAAAAAAATATAATAGTGTAAATAATGTATAATAGTTGAAAATATTTTACCATTGTGTGTTCCACTACTGCCTTAATTTGTACTGATGGTATATTTACTACATCTGGTCCATTATTATGTAATCCATCAATTACATATCCAATTAAAGATTTATTTTTTAAATAATTTATTGATACTGTTCTAGCTGGTATATCATAACCACCTGCAATTGCACCTAATATTTCTGAGGATTTCAATTTTTCAGATGCAGAATGTCTAATGAAACACTGTTCAAATAATGATGTACTTCGTTGTACAGCTTTTGATGTTCTTTTTTTACTACTTTTTATATTAGTGTCTCCATCATACATAGCTACATACATGTCTGGTTTAAATACTTCAATGATATCCATGTACTGATTAGCTGTTAATGCACATTTTCCATTTCTTGTCCATACAGGAACAGTATGATGCTGTTGAAAACCTGAAGGAGTAGTATAAGCTGAATCACTTATTGTAAGAAAATTGATGTATTCCTAAAATAAAAACATGTCATTAAATATTGAAGGATATTACAATAATATCGTTAAAAATTTATAATAATACCGTATACCTTCATACTAACAAAATCTGCGAAATTAATATTAGTATCTCTCACTGATTCTATCATAGAAAATGTAGAAGATAGTGAAATAGATAATAATTGTGGATTTGAAGTAACCATTTTGAAAACATCCTTAGTTAAATGCGGTACACAACCTCCCTAATAAAAGTACAATTTTAAATAAACATTGTGCTATACTTTAAATGTTTTAATTTTACCTTTGTATAAATAAGAACAAGAGGAGTTTCGAAGTTACGGTTAGGTATTCTTTCAAATTCCGATAGTATTCCAATACGGGCGGCGCAAGGTTTTGCGAAATTAGTAGTGAATTTCATATTGATTTTTATTACCTTTTTTTACAACAATTAGGTTTAATAAATACTTTAACTAAATACAGTCCAGTAATTAGAATCTATAGTACAAGATAACCTCACTACTGTCCACATGCTGTTCACCTGGTTTTGAATTAACTGTAGAAATACAAATTGGACGAAAGCATATCTCATACCACGTCTACCGCATCGTAGACGTTACTATTTTACTATCATTCCCTACATTATCGGTAAAACATTGCACGTTATCACAGACCAGGTATAGGATAAACCTAACACCACAGACAACGTAAGTACATGACAGACCTAACATCTTATGCGGATTTTGTGTCCGCAGCACGGGGGCTGAGAAGACCCTTACCATTTTCGTGTTGCTCCCAAGTTACCAATTTAGCACAGAATAAGATTACATTAGTAGTGGTTGGAATTAGAATTAAACGTAACTATGAAATTACAAATAAGAAAGTAACATAATTATTTATTAGTAGATGATTCATCACATACGCGTGTTCTACTGCTGTCAAACGATCATGAACAATTCTACCCACATAATTCAACATATTTAATCGTACTTACTACGAAGGATAATACGTCGATATTTTTAGCAATATAGAAATGAGAAAGACAAGGAAGAGAATACGGGTAGACAAGGATAGCACTAGAGAAACGAGTTAGACGAGGAAAGAAATAGGTGTAGACAAGGATAGCACTAGAGAAATAAAGTAGACAAGGAAGGGAATAGGGTTAGACAAGGACAGAAATTTTCCAAAGTGAAATTGACGCCATCTTGTGTTTGGCTGCGCGAACTAACGGCTCGTTACTAGGAACACAGAATATAAACTGAGGTATTAGACAATGAAAGCACTAGTGTGCGAGAAGGATAGAGAGAGAACGCTTCCTATTGGCTGGCGGGCCGCTGAGCTACACCTCCTAAACGCCACATCAAGTCAGCCGGGGAAAAATTATTAATAACTCAATAATTAAGATGATTTTGTGAACATTTAGAATTGAAGAATGTAGAGTGGACCTTCAGAAACTTTCACATATACTTTTTAGTGCGCTAGACCCCGTCGATAATTAGTTATTAACAATTTTAGTACGTGATGTCGAGAACGATATCGCATACCGTCAAGCATCTTTACGGTTTTTCAAGAATTTCATAGCTTTCTGCTAAATTCTCATGCAAGTAACTATATTCATCTGAAAGGTAACTTCCTTAGATACATTCTCATGCAATTTTTATTAACATATTCGGTTCAGTTTAAGAGTTATTAAATATTATATGGAAGAGTCACCTATTCATCGTACTCGAGTATAGTCAACTGTTGTAAAGAATTGCTAATATCCAATAAACAACATCACTTATGGCTACCAAAATAATTGCAGAATATAAATAAAAGTCTATTCTACATTCTACATGCTTTAAAGTGCATAACTAGTCACGCATTTCTATTGAAATACCGAAAATGTGTAACGCTTGAATGCGACGGATGAAATACTCACCCAAAGAATGTTAAATAACTGCCAAACCACATGGATTATGTTAATAAAAATTATATGAGAATGTAGCTAAAAGAGTTGTCTTTCAGATGCATCCAGTTATTTCCATAGGAATTTAGTAGAAAGCTATGAAATTATTGAAAAACCATAAAGATGCTTGACGGTACGCGGTATCGTTCCCGACATCACGTACTAAAATTGTTAATAACTAATTATTGAATAGGTTCAGGGTATTAAAAACTATATGTGAAAATTACTCAAGGTCTACTCTACATTCTTCAATTCTAAAACATCACAAAATCATTGTAATTATCGAGTTATTAATGATTTTTCCCCGGCCGACTTAATGTGGCGTTTAGGAGGTGGAGTCCAGCGGCCCGCCAGCCAATAGGAAACGTTTCCTCTCTATCCTTGTCGCACATTCGTGCTTACCTTGTCTAATACCTCTGTTTATATTCTGTGTTCCTATGAAAAAGTCGTAGTTCACGTCACCCAACGCGAGATGGTGTTAGTTTCACTTTGAAAATTTTCTGTCCTTGTCTATCCCTATTGCTTTCCTTGTCTAGCTTATTTCTCTAGTGCTATCCTCGTCTACACCTATTTCTTTTCCTTGTCTTTCTCATTTGTCTAGTGCTATCCTCGTCATCCCTACTATATTTAACTGATACTTATGATTCTTTTTTAATAGTTGTAACAGTACTAATAATGTAGTTAGTAAAATACAGTTTCTGGCTTATTTTCAAGTATTGTAATTATAGAATAATTAATATTTTCTATCAGAAAACAATTTAGATGGTTGTTTATAATTATTGGAAATCTTCAAAACAATTAATGGGTGCTTTAACTTAACGAAACAGTTTATTAAATTAAAGTAAAAGAAATTGAAAACAAGAACACTGATAGGCATTTGTTATTTGAAATATTGAAGCAGACCAAAATGTTATTCTTAGATTGAATCAGAATAGATTCATTCACACATTTGTGGTGTTAGTACAGACGAAATATATATAGGGATTTTTTGTTATACGATTTGAAATACCAACGCCGTCCAAAACGTGTCTGGATTTCAATACCTACCACTAATAGTGCAGTGATATAATACCAGTCTCAATCGATACAGTAGACTGTGACACGAAAATGGTAACGGGGTTCTAGGACCCCGAGATCGTGTGACAAAAAAATACATTGGATGTACGATCTACTCTATATCTCGTCTATGCTAAGTTGGCGGGAAGATAAGGTAGTGATTGACATGATCACTAGTCGTCAAAATCGTTTAAATTATTTGATAAAAGTCAGTATATTTTTTAGTTAGTATCACTTTTTAGAACATGCTAGACGTAGGTACTATAGTTTAACGAATAAAAGTTCCTCGTAGGTATGAAATTTATCTTTATTCACTGTACAATTTCTTACGTACAAAAAGTGCAATGCCTTTGAAAATTGACCGTATTTAGGGCAACAATTGACTTAATTGTGCACAGAATGAATTTATCCTTGTGCACAGACGTTTCACAATTATGTACACGGTAATAAAATAATTTCAGTTTATACAATATGAAATGTTATGTACAATCTAGGGTGTCTAATTTACATTGTAATATATTCCAGAAAAATGTCACGTATGACAGCTTATGTGGGTAATTTTTCGAACTAAAAGATCTAGCGTATTTTTTTTGCAGGTTAAAATTGTCGAACGTTGCATAATCGATGGCAAAGATTAACAAAATTAATCTATTTTTAGATAAATGCAATAGTCGACAAACAACTGCAAGGGGAAATAAAGGGGAAGGATTTCAATACTTCCAACGAATTGTAAGAAATGTGTCCGTAGCTATAAAAGGCAGTCGTAAGCAATAAAGTAAATTACAAGAAATCTAATTGTAATTATGACAACTCATTTTTAGCACCGTTTCACGTTGATAAACACATTAATGTTAATTACAATACAAGCAACATATAAATTTTCGCTTATTATACAATTTCACACACTCGCTTGATTTTTATACATTATTTATCGCGTTAGAGTCAGCTAGACGACTATATTACACTTTATACTCTCTCTATAGTTACAAAAATTATAGGCAAGAATCATCACATCACATAAAAGTGCAAATTCGGTAATTGAATCGTGCGATTGTAAGAGGAACGTCGTTAGTGATGCAATCAAATCTTAATGCATATTTACTGCGGCATAATTATCGACCTGATTCTAAGCGACCGCGATCCTTCCGTTCTCAACCGACGTGTACCACCAAGTGTCGCGATTTAAATGGCGTTTCCACGATAAGCCGCAATTTCCTGTCGGTTTCGTAACGATGCATATGATTTTAATCGATCGGTAACAGTTTTTTACGCAACAAGTGTTTCAACACGACTAACCGTTATTACGCCACTCTGTAAATGCACGCTAATGCTCAGAGGATATTACATAAAATCTATCGATAAATTCCTACGTACCAGCGACAGAATGGAATTCTCAAATTTGCAAACTTCGTAGAATTTGCAGCTCGAACAAACATCCGTAATAACTCATTGCCGATAAAACACATTCTAACTACAACATTATCGGTAAAGAAGTGTGAAACTTTCTCATGAATGAAAAGGAACGCAAATCGATTATACCCTCGCTCGAGCCAAAATTCTTCGCAGTTTTCAGTCGATAAAGTTTCAGCGTCGCGGCACGCGATGCGCCGAAACCAGCCAGGGGAACAATTTTACCGCGCAGGGGGCTTCATTCCGTGAACATTTTTCCGCTGTGGGAACGCCAGAGGCAACGAGCTTCGCGATTTCACCGGTAATTCGAAAAATGCATAGGAATTAGCGGGAGCGGTATGCGTGCGCATCGGGATAAGGACGTTTCGGTGGCGACAAAGGTATTCGCCATAGGCACGTAGATGCGTGAGTTTATGCGTGCACGCTGGCGTAACCTGTGAACAGAGAGAGGAAGATACGACAAAGAAAGAGAGAGAAAGAGAGTGAAGTACGAGCAACAAGAGGTAAAGGAGCGGCGAGGTGTGCGGGTCGCCAACACATATCTCGATATCTCACAGTTCGATCTTTCTCGGCCCGGCCGCCCGTATATTTACATGTATAATTTATATATCCCGTAGCAGGGACGAAGAAGGTGGTGTGTGCCCAGCCAGGGCGGGTCCTACATCCTTACAGCCGTATCCTTCCGACGCGGCTGTGCTCCTCCCTTGGCGCGCGCTCTCTGTACCGCCATTATAGAGGGCTCTCTCTACCGATCGAGAAATTCGCGGGAATCCAATGGGCTGAATTCCCACGATCCCGCTGTGCTCGTCGATAAATGAGAATGTGTCTTTAGAGTATTACTTCCTGGAAACGTTATTGTACCTACTTTGTCGAAGAATTTACAGACTCCTCGAGGATTCTACGAACGTATCAAGATAGACAAAGAAAGAGAGAGAGAGATTCTTTACATCGATGAGTGTGCATAGGAACTTGTCGAAGTAATCGTGACGTCACGTATTCAATTAGTATAGGTTATGTTACGAGACACTCCGGTCTTTATCATATTCTCAATTATTTCCACGTATTTTTGAATCTGTTCCCTCGGTCGACGCTACCTAGGAACCTTTTAAGCCGAAGAGACATAAATTTGTTCGCACAGCTGCGAATCGCTCGCGAGTCTACCCCGATACAAGGCTCGTCGCGCAAATGCGGAAGAAGCTTGGCGGAGAGCAAGGCGGGCCTTAATTAAGCGCAGGTACCAACGAATTCCATAATACGTTCCCGTTCGCGTAACACGACCACGATAAGAACCACCCATCCGACAGTGCGGCGCGTTCGTGGGATTTTTTTCGGCGAAATAATGCGCCGGCACTAAGGTTCTTCTCTCCCTATCGCCATTGTGGCCACGAGGGCGCAATTAATTATTGCGTGCCCGCGAGGGAGTGCATTGTTGCATCTGTTGTTGCACCGCTCCACGTTCCCCTGTGTGTATAGTTAAACGAAGAAAGAGAGGGGGGGAGAGAGCTGTGAATGATTCTACGCTGCAGAACGGTTTTTCGGCGAATGAAATGTTGCGATTGCTTTGTGCACCGCGAACCCAAGGGCCGCGGTAATTTATGAGCTCGCGGTAGCACGATGCAATTTACGTCGACTTACCGGGGTACACGGACGATTACGAAAAAAGGGGTACAGTTTGCCTTCGGTGGTTTCTGGTTAACACGGTACCTGTCCTGTACCATTGCGATTGTTAAACTGCGCAATTCTTAGTGATAAAAAAACAGATATCCTTTTTTTTTATTCGGAATCTATTGTTAATTTTGGTTAAGGCAGTTTCATCATTTGAATTTTCGCGCTAAATACAATTCAGCGAAGATTCACGTCAGCGTCGAAAAAGAGAAAGTAAATTCGTTGGTTACAAAGGAAAGAGTAACTGCGTCTCAAAATAAAAAAAAAATGAATATTCTTTTCTTTATCTAGAATCTATTACAAATTTTGTTTAAGACAGCTAACGCGTCAAGTTTGACCGAGGAATCGGCGAATTTCTCGCACATTTGAATTTTCGCGCCAATTAAAATGCATCCAGGACTCGCGTCGAGCGTTGAAAAAGAGAAAACAAGTAAATTCGTCGGTTACAGAGGAAAGAGAGTAACCGCGTCCCGAAAGTGTGCGGCGATCGCGCGCCGACAAGCTGGCGCAGGTGAGATACAAATGAAAGACGTAAACGCGGGCGCGGCAGAGAGAGAATCTCGAGGTAGAACGTCTCTCCTCCAGTTCGTGTTCTGTCGAAGGAACAATCGGGACTGTCCGAGGGAAGGTAATTAAGAGAACACGACGGCGACGATTAAACGAGTCCTGCCGAATCGGGTGAAACGAATTAATTCTACCGTCGAACGAGGGTCGAAGATAAACGATTGAGCCTGACGGACCCCGGTAGAATCCTGTTTAACGATTCAGTGACGAATACTTTCACACGATGCTGCGCGAAACAGTCTCCCTTTGGCTACACCACGTCGGAACGAGTTTTGCGACAGTTAACCCTCTACCGGTAAAGTGGGTATTTTATCTGATTAAATATTATCACGTGGAATCTATCACGAAGAACGATTCTGTCGTACGATGAACGATACATCAACGAGAAATTTCTACATTTTTCAGCGTCGTATCGATCATACTTCAGAGGACATATTCGTCTCTAAGGATCCAGTTAAGGGTTAACGACGCGGAACAATTTCTATAACATCGACAGAAGATAAAAAAGAAAACATTACAAAATATCGTAAAGGAGAAATATCGCTTGTCGTTCGAGAGTTCTCTTGAAATGCAAAAACAGAACGGACGTTGCCGAAGGCGCTTTTACTGAAACCCCTCGAACGTCAAATTACAGAAACACCTGTTCTCCGAAACAACTTCATTCCGATTCGGTTTCGTGCATTTGCGAGCCGCGCTCCTCTCATTCCCTTTCCTCTCATTTCGCGTCTCGCCGATGAACCCTGGCTAAACGCAGATTAAACACGTCCGGGGACCGCGAAGCAACGCTCACGAATCCATTGTTTCGGCGTTCTCCTGGTTGCACCGCCGCGTTAACAGCAATAAGAACAATACTCATTACTCGGTGTATATCTCGGGAGAGAGATACGTTGGCGCATTAATAAGCCAGTAGACTAATTCGCCGTGGACGGCCATTCCCTGAGAGGAGAACAATAACGTGATTGTAAATGCAGTTTGTAATCTGTTCTGGATGTTGTTCTACCAGCTGCACGAAAATTTCATTACGCAACCATTAGTTTCTGGATCTCTAATAGTTCGTCGTCCTCTTATGGATAGTATCAGTTGTCGAGAAGTAGTTGCATATTCGCGAGACAAGGGTACAAACTCTAGACTGAAAATATTTATGGCACTACTTTGTTCAGCACAAAGCGAAGAAAAAGGAGAAGCGAACTTCGTTGTGCAACAACCGACTCGATTTGCAATATCAGATAGATACTTCTTCCTTTCTCTATTCTTCGATAGAATTCTGTCGTGGAAATTAGCGACGCTGAAAGGCAAGATTCAACTCTTCGTACTTCTTATACAAACATTCCTGAGCCTTGATTGTCATCGATAGCTTCAGTCTTCAACTTCTACAGCCCCTATCTTCTTCTTTATTAACAGTCTTAATTAACGAGAAAACACTGGGATGATCTCTTATCGATACACTTGAACAACACTTCTATTCGATAAACTTCTCACACGTTGTTCATTCGCACAATTCCACAGATTCGATCCTAGATATAGTCCGAAGGCACCGAGCTCTCGTTTATCGCCGCCAGTCGATACTGAGGCGTTTCCAGACCCTGCGGATTCAGATGGATATTCGTGTTATTCCCTGAAGACGCAGCTGCGGGCATCTGTTGATTCGCTGAATTCGAGCTCAGGTCGCTGTAGTAAGCGCTGCTTGGCGCGCTGCTCAAAGTTGGACCATCCGGTTCCGCGTCGCTTCCGGTGTACGCTGTGTTTTGGTACGACGGATGATCGCCGTTTCTGCTACCGATCCGCAGGTCCTGGTGATGATGATGGTGATTGTGATGGTGATGGTGATGATGATGATGTTGCATCTGACCTGGCGGAACAGGCGTCGATGGTCCATTCTCGTACATCTCGTAATCCGGTTCTTGTAACCTGGAAAAATCGTATCACGATCATGGTAAACACCAAAAAGTTGATCGATCAACCTGTTCTACGTGTTCGAAGCTGCGCATCGATATCGAGATTGTGGGAATGGTGGTAATAGCGAGGTGAAAAATATATACATATACATATACAGGTTATATCTCTGGTAATACAGGTACGTAGCTCTTAATATTTCCGAACAACTGTATAGTTACACGAATACATTTACGATAACGAATGTTGATGTTCTAGATCCCCCAGGGCCGTAGCGGAATGATCTATTTCTCGTTCTACGAATTTATGTTTAATTAAGTAACAGAAATCTACATTGACAAGATAATTATGCGTGATTTCATAACGGTACATTCTAATCAGGTGTATTTCCAGGTAATATATAACCTGCCGCATATGGACGTTGATGTCCTGCAATCAGTCGCATACGTTTATCCAAGGAGAAGTGAAAAAAAGTCTCCCGCGGTACCTGGGATAATTTCCCACTGGGATATGAGGTTCCATTAGTTCCGACGGAAGAAAGAATAACGCGAATTGCTAATGGATTACCAAGGCCAAGGAAATAATTGGGATTTAATAGAGCTTCCCTGAAATAGGATCGCGGTAGTTAAATCGTAAATTGTAGTAACGATCGAATAGATCGTAACTATTTCTACTCTATTACGTTTAATAGTGATGGAACAAGTACGGTTAAATAGCATAGCATTGATACGCAATCAAGCCCACTGATCGTACATGCTTTAACTACGCGCAAAACAACGATATGGAACAAAGACGTCAGAGCCTATCCGCCTATCGATTGAAATTATTAAACCGTAATGCCACGAAGATTCACGAGGGCGTGGTTTGTTCGGAGGCGCGTAGTCATTGCCTTGTAGAAAACGTGCACGACGAGTATAACTACGCGAGCAATAGGTTGCTCCTTTGCGAAAAACTTAATTACGAAGATTAATTTACCTTTTACTGTGCCGCGTACGAAGCGTGTCCCTTTGTAATGATCCGTCACCGTTGCTACCACCGTAATGACGATGTAACCTCGCGGCGTCTAGCTCGTGGTACTCGTCGTCCTGACCGCCGGAAGTTGTACCGTACGTCGAGCTTCCTCTCATTTGTAGCTGAAGATCGCTCGCGTAGCTCGCGGCCTGAGAGTCCAGTTCTGCGTACAGAGCCTCGTCCGTTTGCATGTGGGTGTAGTGGTTCTCCACCGGGAGATTCATCGCCCGTCTGTGTTGCGGAAGCGACAGGGGTGTCGTGACGACTCCCGGTGTACCGCCGCCGCGTCGCGAGCCTAACCACGACCACACATTGTGCCCTTGAATCAAATCCCCGTGGAACCATAGAAATCGCGGCTCTCGCTGTGTCAATTATCGAGTACTGGTACTCGGGTACTTGAGTATTCTGTTAATAGAATACCTGAGTGGGTAAACGTTCGAGTGTCTAAGTATTGGAGTGCTCAGATATTTGGGTGTCTAAGTATTCCAGATTTAAAGGTACCTGAGTATTCAAGCGATCGAGTTCTCAAGCGCTCTGGTACTCAAGTTCCCGAGAACTCAAGCGCTCTGGTATCTAAATTCCCGGGACCTCAAGCGCTCTGGTACCCAAGTTTCCGAGTACTCAAGCGCTCAGGTACCCAAGTTCCTGAGTGCTCAAGCGCTCTGGTACCCAAGTTCCCGAGTACTCAAGCGCTCTGGTACCAAAATTCCCGAGTACTCAAGCGCTCTGGTACCAAAGTATTTAAGCACCGAAGTTCCTGAGTACTCAAGCGCTCAGGTACCCAAGTTTCCGAAAACTGAAGCGCTCTGGTACCTAAGTTCTCCGACTACCCAAACACTAGTACCAGAATACCTAAATATCTAAACCCTCTAACATCCAAGCATCCAAGTGTCCAAACACGCGAACATCTAAGCACTCGAGTATCCAAAAACCCCACTTCCCGTGTACCCCGAGATACCTGAAGTACTCGATATACCCAAGTACTCAAATTACCGCAAAAGATTCACTAATTAATAACTTGCAGTGACGCGTACCAGGACTAGGAGCGACATCGTGATAAGGCGGCAGTTTATCGAGTTCAAGGGGCGGCCGGTCGGGTATAACGGCCACTCCACCGCCTGCTCCGCCTCCGCCACCTGGGCCACCGGCTTCCTGAGCGTTCGAGTCCTCGACGCCGACGCTACAGCAACTCGCTGGAACAGAAGGGAAAAAAAGCCAAGAAGAAAAGATTAGTCCCACGTGAGTCTCTGCGTTGGAAAATCCGTTGGCACATGGATCATAAACGAAAGTCGCGCTCGAGTTTCATTGAAGGGAAGAAGGTTCACGAATCCACGGTTCGAGAGATGAAGCTCGTGAAGTGCCAGGTGAGCTTGGACAGAATCCTGTTACGTTACACGACTGCGCCCGTCCTCCGTACCTAACTACACACGTACCACCGTGCAACTATACAACGGTCACGTGCATAGATATACATTACAACGCGCGTGTATGTATACACGTACCCGAATCACCGCATTATGACATGAGCTCTCCGTGCCAAGGATAAAAAGGGACGGAGAGAAATGGAGAAGGAGGAAAAAAAGCGGCTGTTTTCTGTATAGCCCCCATTGTACGCCCGTCATCGTGCTGTCCACGGCCCTCATAGAAACGCGGCGTGGTTTGGGGTTGATGGTAAGAGAGTAGCTGGGGCGGGTGGAAGGAACCGGGGTAGGATGGAGAAAGGTGAAGAAAGAAGGAGACACTTGGAGAGAGAGAGAGAGAAAAGGAATTCGGAATTCATAGATCAGAGGTGCCGCCTCGCGGTAAGTGGGCATGAGAATGCCGCGGAGAAAAAACGAGATTATGGGAATCCCATGGTGTCTCTCTTTCTCATCGGTCTTGCCTCATAACCTACGCACGTACGCCTCTCTCGCCTCGTTCCCGTGCCTTCGTCGTTGACGTCGTCGTTGTCCTTCCCCGTCGCGATGCTTTTCGTCGTCCTGGAGCGGACTGGCTCGCTGGCGCGCGTCGCAACGCGCCTTGGCGGCTGTCACTTGCCAGAAGATACAGAGAGACTGGTTCTCGTTTATCGCGGTATATATACCCTTCCGCACCAGCTCTCACGCACGAGTGTGTTGCCCGTGCTGCAACGAGGTATAATCTTCGCTGGCCACTCTCGTCTAGACGCTATTTTCTTCCTCCTCTTCCGAGAAGCTGCTGCAGAGAAGCGCTCCTCGCGAGGGATAATCGGTGATGCGCTCTCTCTGCGGACGTTCCAGAATGAAAAGCAGGGTGACGTACCCGAGGAGAAATTTAATTCTTCCTTTTACAAGGCACCGTGTACCTTGGATATTTATAACGAGCCGTTACACTGTAATTTACATAATTAGGATCTAGGCAAACCTGGGCTCACCGCGAGATTGCCTGGTAATGGGAGACGCGAAATCCACGGTCCTCCAACCGCGAGAACTCTTTTCACGCGTGCTGGTGGTTAATGCATTTTAACGAGTATACGTGTGTATGTACGTACAGAGAGAAATGAATCATCGGTTCATCGAGAGTTTCGAACATTTTCATCGACGATGAAAAGACAACCCGCTGTCTGTACAAATTTGCCCACCATTATCCTCCGTGGAAATTGTTCGTTACTCTTCCAAGACGAGGAGAAGACACGTGAACTGAAGAGAGATCGGGACCAATTACCAACAGCTTTCCTGACGACTTTCAAAGATTTCAATTGCCGTGGACAACGTTCACCGCGACCCTAATCAACCTTCCATTCGTTACCAGCCACTTCTACGTGGCTGTTGCCTTTGGTGCTCCATCAACAGCACGAGGATAAGAGGCGCGCGACTTCATTTGCGCGCGAGCGCCTAGAAATCCAAGTTGCAATCGATTACGCCGAGAGACGAGCGTGCGCGGCCGGTAATCGCGTTATTTATCGTCGTATACGCAACGTTCCATGGGTATTCAGTTGGCGTACGCATCCTCCTGGACGAACAGCAATTTAGCATTCCGCGGCAAGCGTTAAGCCGTTTATTGCTATCGTAAATAAGGCGGTGTCGATTTATCGTCGCGCTCGTCGGAGTTTGCCTCTAACGTCCCTCCCACGATTCTCGATCGATCCTCGTTTATAATTGTACGTCGAACTGTCACAAAGGATCCCGTACGTCCTGTTTCTCGCGGTCCACGCACCGTGGGTGACACGTGAGCCAGTTTCGGCGCGATTACACCATATACTTCCCACCTATTCTCGGCAGAGGTGAGGTAACAGGATCCGTTCGTTTTCCAGGCTGTCGCTTCGTGTCGCCCTCTTCTCGACGCGTTACACCGCGTGATTTGCTGGATTAGATGGTTCGAATATTAATTGGTCCACGGATGCGTTAGCCCGGCAAACGGGACGCGTGAAAATCGTTGGCGTGTCGTGACAGCAGGGGGCAAATGTTCGGGGACTCACGGATCTCTAGGAGATTCGAACGCCTGCACAGGCCGGATTCTATTTCCCGGCAGCCGTGCGTGCTCGTTAGATTCGAGCCGATTCCCCGCCTGATGCTTCCTCCCTGGCCAGGCTTTCACGGCCCTTCACACTCTTCCACGTGCGTCATCATGTCAGAAAGATTTTCATTGATGTGAGAAAAACATAGGTTAGGCACGACCGTTTCTGGAATTCCCTGGATTAAGAACGTGTCTTTGTGTTTAGCGGGATTCTTTTACCTAGGGTCGGGGATTTCTGTACGCTTGTGTGGAATATCTGTCGATCCTTGCCTTGGAATAATAAGTATGTTAATCCCCATGGGCAGCCACTTCTACGTGGCTGTTGCCTTTGGTGCTCCATCAACAGCACGAGGATAAGAGGCGCGCGACTTCATTTGCGCGCGAGCGCCTAGAAATCCAAGTTGCAATCGATTACGCCGAGAGACGAGCGTGCGCGGCCGGTAATCGCGTTATTTATCGTCGTATACGCAACGTTCCATGGGTATTCAGTTGGCGTACGCATCCTCCTGGACGAACAGCAATTTAGCATTCCGCGGCAAGCGTTAAGCCGTTTATTGCTATCGTAAATAAGGCGGTGTCGATTTATCGTCGCGCTCGTCGGAGTTTGCCTCTAACGTCCCTCCCACGATTCTCGATCGATCCTCGTTTATAATTGTACGTCGAACTGTCACAAAGGATCCCGTACGTCCTGTTTCTCGCGGTCCACGCACCGTGGGTGACACGTGAGCCAGTTTCGGCGCGATTACACCATATACTTCCCACCTATTCTCGGCAGAGGTGAGGTAACAGGATCCGTTCGTTTTCCAGGCTGTCGCTTCGTGTCGCCCTCTTCTCGACGCGTTACACCGCGTGATTTGCTGGATTAGATGGTTCGAATATTAATTGGTCCACGGATGCGTTAGCCCGGCAAACGGGACGCGTGAAAATCGTTGGCGTGTCGTGACAGCAGGGGGCAAATGTTCGGGGACTCACGGATCTCTAGGAGATTCGAACGCCTGCACAGGCCGGATTCTATTTCCCGGCAGCCGTGCGTGCTCGTTAGATTCGAGCCGATTCCCCGCCTGATGCTTCCTCCCTGGCCAGGCTTTCACGGCCCTTCACACTCTTCCACGTGCGTCATCATGTCAGAAAGATTTTCATTGATGTGAGAAAAACATAGGTTAGGCACGACCGTTTCTGGAATTCCCTGGATTAAGAACGTGTCTTTGTGTTTAGCGGGATTCTTTTACCTAGGGTCGGGGATTTCTGTACGCTTGTGTGGAATATCTGTCGATCCTTGCCTTGGAATAATAAGTATGTTAATCCCCATGGGTCGATTTCATCCAAATTTGTCATTTTTCAGTTTTTAATTTTCTCACTTTTTTAAATATTCGTGCTCATTGAGATATCATATTTTAATATTCTGTGTTATGTGGGGACGTTTATTCAATTTCTTTTTGCAATGACCCACCGGTGGGTCACTTCGGCGGAAATAGAGCACCTCTCGATGACCCACCGTGGGTCACGCCAGATATTCAATCTTTTTTGTCATCCATGTCCCATCAGTGGGTCACGAAGGCAAATAAGAGCCTCTTTCGATGACCCACAGTGGGTCACATCCTGAACTTACTAAAAAAATATTAAAACGCATAAAAGAGATTGAAATTCGAACAATAACATTTCCTTCTCAAAACAACAGGAACGATCTTTTTGTCTCACGAACGAGGTTTAAACGCGTAAAAAGGTGACAAAGGGTACCCTCCGAACGAGCACACGGGATCGCTGTCGTTGACTTCTCGAGGGAGCAGCGGCTGATTCGGCGTATCGACCGGTGGAACGCGCGATAAGCCGATTAACGCATTCGATTCACCTATTCTACCCCGGCTCTCGAATCGCCATTGTGTCCCGTCGATCGGCCCGGGGAACCTAACGTGAGTACGGGTCTCTCCTCTTTTTTGCGCAACAGCCCCTTTTCAGCCGTCCATTAACGCCTCTCTTGTCCGTTGGCATTCTCGCCGCGATTCTTACGCACGGTTCTACACTTCAACGATGTTTCATTAATTCCTTCTTTCTTTCCCCGCTCCGCGACCAAATTGCTCGTCGCGCAACACATCACCGCGAGTGTATGCGGTTATTCAACCAACAAGTCTCACTTCTGGTCTAACTTCCCCTCTATCTCTTATCCCAGAAATTACAATTATATCCATAGTGGCGAAGTACAGCTATAATTTCATCGCTGACAAGTTTACATAGGCCCCGTGAATAAATAAAGCCGCGGTGGACACGGTTACCTCGGCTACGCGCTAAACGTTCTGCGGTTCCAGAGTAATTAATAGAAACTCGAGGAAGAAGGAAACGGTAGGATTAAGTCTATAGTGATTTCCTCTGTAGCGAGTAATTTAAGGCTTACTTAAACTCTCGAATTTACGATATTCTAATTGAAACTTTCCAAGATTTGAAATTTAAGCTGTGTTCCACGCGTGTGTTTCTTCTTTTCTTCCAACAAAGTTTGCATACTTGGACTGTTCA